ATAGAGGCTGGCAAGTCATATAACTGTCGGTCAAATGTCCGGATAGAGACTGACATGTAATATAACGTCTGGATGGAGACTGGCATGTCATATAACTTTCAGTCCAATCTCCGGATAGCGCCTGGCATGTCATATAACTGTCCGTCAAATGTCCTGATAGAGGCTGACATTTCATATAACTGTCAGTCAAATATCCGGATAGAGGTTGGCATGTTATATAACTGTCTGGCATGTCATATTACTGTCAGTCAAATGTCTGGAGAGAGGCTGGCATGTCATATAATTGTCAGTCAAATGTCCAAATAAAGGCTGAAATTTAATATAACGATTGGATAGAGGCTGGCATGTCATGAAACTGTCAGTCAAATGTCCAAAAAGAGGCTACAATGTAATATAACGTCCGGATTGAGGCTGGCATGTAATAATACTATCAGTCAAATGTCCGGCTAGAGGCTGGCATGTAATATAACTGTCAGGCAAATCTCCGGATAGAGGCTGACATGTAATATATCGTCCGGATAAAGGCTGGTATGTCATAAAACTGTCAGCCAAATCTCCGGATAGAGGCTGCCATGTTATATAGCTGTCGGTCAAATGTCTGGATAGGGGCTGACATGGAAAATTACTGGCGGTAAATGTCTGGATAGAGGCTGGCATGTCATAAACCGGTCAGTCAAATGTCCAAACAGAGGCTGAAATGTAATATAATGTCTGGATAGAGGCTGGCATGTCCTATAACTGTCAGTCAAATGTTCAAATAGAGTCTACAATGTAATATAACGTCCGGGTAGAGGCTGGCATGTCATATTGCCATCAGTCAAATGTCCTGATAAAAGCTGGCATGTCATATAAATGTCGGTCAAAAGTCCTGATAGAGGCTGTCATGTCATATTACTGTCAGCCAAATGTCTAGATAGAGGCTGACATGTAAAATAAAATATTGCTATCAGTCAAATGTCCTGATGGCTTGCATGTCATATAACTGTCAGTTAAATGTCTGGATAGAGGCTGAAATGTAATATAATGTCTGGATAGAGGCTGGCATGTCACATAACTGTCAGTCAAATCTCCAAATAGAGGTTACAATGAAATATAACAACCAGATAAAAGCTGGCATGTCATATAAATGTCGGTCAAATGTCCTGATAGAGGCTACAATGTCATATAACTGTAGGTAAAATGTCCTGATTGAGGCTGGCATGTCATAATACTATCAGTCAAATGTCCGGCTAGAGGCTGGCATGTCATATACCGGTCAGTCAAATGACGGATAGAGACTGGCTTGTCATATAACTATCGGTGAAATGTCCCGATAGAGGCTGACATTTCATATAACTGTCAGTCAAATGTACAAATAGAGGCTGAAATGTAACATAACGATCGGATAGAGGCTGTCATGTCATATTACTGTCAGCCAAATGTCTGGATAGAGGCTGGCATGTTATATAACTGTCTGGCATGTCATATTACTGTCAGCCAAATTTCTGGATAGAGGCTGACATGTCATATTACTGTCAGTCAAATGTCCGAATAGAGGCTGAAATGTAATAAAACGATCGGATAGAGGCTGGCATGGCATATTACTGTCAGCCAAATGTCTGGGTAGGGGGTGGCAGGTAAAATAACTGTCGGTAAATGTCTGGATAGAGGCTAGCATGTCATATAACTGTCGGTTAAATGTCCTGTTAGAGGCTGGCATGTCATATTGCTATCAGTCAAATGTCCTGATAAAAGCTGGCATGTCATATAAGTTCCAGTCAAATATCCGGATAGAGGTTGGCATGTTATATAACTGTCTGTCAAATGTTCCGATAGAGACTCACATGTAATATAACGTGCGGATAGAGGCTGGCATGTCATATTACTGTCAGCCAAATGTCTGGATAGAGGCTGACATGTAAAATAACTGTCGGTAAATGTCTGGATAGAGGCTGGCATGTCATATAACTGTCGGTCAAATGTCCTGATAGAGGCTGACATGTCATATAACTGTCGGTCAAATGTCCTGATAGAGTCTGGCATGTCATATAACGGTCAGTCAAATGTCCGGATAGCGGCTGGCATGTCATATAACTGTCAGTCAAATGTCTGGATAGAGACTGGCATGTCATATAACTTTCAGGCAAATCTCCGGATAGCGGCTGGCATGTCATATAACTGTCGGTCAAATGTCCTGATATGGGCTGGCATGTCATATAAATGTCAGTCAATTCTCCGGATAGCGGCTGGCATGTCCTATAACTGTCAGTCAAATGTCTGGATAGAGGCTGGCATGTCATATAACTGTCAGTCAAAAGTCCAAATAGAGGCTGAAATGTAATATAACGTCTGGATAGCGGCTGGCATGTTATATAACTGTCGGTCAAATGTCCTGATAGCGGCTGGCATGTCATATAACTGTCAGTCAAATGTCTGGATAGAGGCTGGCATGTCATATAACTTTCAGTCTATTCTCCGGATAGCGGCTGGCATGTCATATAACTGTCGGTCAAATGTCCTGATAGAGGCTGGAATGTCATATAACTGTCAGTCAAATGTTCGGATAGAGGCTGGCACGTCATATAAATGTTGGCCAATTGTCCTGCTAGAGGCTAAAATGTAACATAACGTCCAGATCGAGGCTTTCAAGTTATATTACTGTCGGTCAAATGTCTGGATAGAGGCTGGCATATCTTATAACTGTCAGTCAAATGTCCTGATAAAAGCTGGCATGTCATATAAGTTTCAGTCAAATATCCGGATAGAGGTTGGCATGTTATATAACTGTCGGTCAAATGTCCGGATAGAGACTGACATGTAATATAACGTCTGGATGGAGACTGGCATGTCATATAACTATCGGTGAAATGTCCCGATAGAGGCTGACATACCATATACCGGTCAGTCAAATGACGGATAGAGACTGGCATGTCATATAACTATCGGTGAAATGTTCCGATAGAGGCTGGCATACCATATACCGGTCAGTCAAATGTCCTGATAGAAGCTGGCATGTCTTATAGGTTTCAGTCAAATGTCCGGATAGAGGCTGGCATGTTATATAACTGTCAGTCAAATGTCTGGATAGAGGCTGGCATGTTATATAACTGTCTGTCAAATGATCGGATAGAGACTGACATGTAATATAACGTCCGGATAGAGGCTTGCATGTGATACAGTGTATAACTTTTAGTCACATGTTCGGATAGAGGCTGGCATGTTATATAACTGTCTGTCAAATGTTCCGATAGAGACTGACATGTAATATAACGTCCGGATAGGAGCTTGCATGTGATATAAATGTCAGTCAAATGTCCGGATAGAGGCTGACATTTCATATAACTGTCAGTCAAAAGTCCGTTTAGAGGCTGACATTTCATATAACTGTCAGTCAAATGTCCGGATAGAGGCTGGCATGTCATATAACTGTCGATCAAATGTCCCGATAGAGGCTGACATTTCATATAACTGTCGGTCAATGTCCCGATAGAGGCTGGCATGTCATAAAACTCAAATCTCTCGATAGTGGTTGGCCGGTCGTCATACAGCAACTGTATTAGTACAGACGACCGGGCCGTGATTAGTGGACTATTGTGGAATGGTCGAAAATCGAACTTTCTTTGTATGATATGTCCCGAATTCTTATAAATGGACTTTGATGAGGCTAAATTGTATCGTTTTAGTTAATATTTACTTGGTTTTCGAGTCGTGATTTTGCCACGTAACGTATTTAATGGGGTACAATTATTGTAACAATACCTGTGTATTTGTCAGTGTAAACGTTAGTAAATAGCAACGCTTTATTGACCCCTGATAGATAGAATGTTTATCTAACTACTTTGTCCTAAGGATAGGGAATAGATCGCTAATGGTATAGGTTACAATCCGTTAAATCGTGTCGGATTGCCAAGAAGAAGTAGCTGAACACTGTAAAATGCATGAAAATACTTTCATTCGAAATTTTAAGATCGCTGTAAAATTAAATATATTACAACCAAGTCATGTGCTACTATGTTTTTGTTTGTTTAAGTTTGATGTATTTTGTCTTAAGGTCCTTATGACTGAAACTGATGATGGGCCGTAAAATAAAAATACGAACAAATCCCTAATAATAGTGGATACATCAGGTGCATGGTGTTTCAGTGTGCATAAGGTATTTAATTAGTCTACAATAGAAACTTTCATCTTTGTTGAGTGACGGTCTGCTACCTTTTTTCTTTATCATCATGTTTCCTTCATAAAAGAGCTATGTAAGCGATATGAATTAATATTTTAATAACACTTCATCCAAGCCCGTCATCATTTGCCTAAAAAAACTCGAAAGTAAGAAGTTTAATTCATCATTGCAAAATTGAATAGAAGTGAAAAACTTGAGTGTTTTGCGGTTTAAAGAGAAAGGTAAACCTTGCACTAAATGTGTATATGTTAAACTTTTCACGCAGGCATGTTTATAAAAAATCAACACATGATAATAATGCGTTGTATATTCCGGCAAAGTAGGGACAGTACGTTTTAATGTCGGTTTATATTTTGTTTTGATGCCTAGAGTGTCACTTTTTGTTAATAATTGAACATTGTATGTTCAGTGTTACACCTTTGTATTAAAAGAATGTGATGAATACAAAGGACCAGAGGTTTGTGTATTGGATGGGAAGGTTACGTACCGCTAGATAGCTCTCCAACAATATCAAGTTCGAATGGACATGAAAAGGAAACATTGTAGTTTCTAATGGCTTGTCGGCATTTTTGCCAACAATCAATTCTTGCTGTCTTTAAAAATATTTGATCGAATATTAGGGCATTTGTAATCTCAACGGCGTACAAATATTGACCAAGTATATAGACCGGGAGCTTTCGGCATGTACCCTCTAACGAGTAGCCAACACTTCGTAAGCTTATTGGTCCACGGACGGGGAGAAATGCAAACATTCTGGAACAATTACACTTCGATCAGGAGCAGAGCTGACTATAACTAACTGGTTGGTAGTGAGTTGTTTAAGTATGTGATCACGTCTCTGTGAACGTTATACGTATAACGCGCCGTGACTACCACAGAATACACAACCAATTAAAAACATTACATACCAAAGCCCACCGACAGAAGAAGGTTTTTAAATACATTGAAGATCAATGAGCGACATATCATAGTCACACTGGGCCGTGTGTTACCCGTAGTATGTAAACGTTCGCTGTCATGGTGGACGATTTGTAATCAATATGGAACATTAAAGGAATTTAAATGGACTATATCAAGTGAAAAAATTAAAACTACTACTGCTTTAGGGAATAACGGTCACACAAAAGTGTTATCTTAAGGAATAACGGGAAGACATGTGTATGCAAGCTTAACTTATGAGTGTACTAATGTTTCATGCTGTCAAAGCGAAATGCTTTTGTTAAAGAGGAGACCTGACTCGTTTGCAGCTGTCTTACAAAACTAGAGTCTGTCACATCGAGATGACGTAAGGATTACCTCCATTTCTAGCTGTATCTTAGAAAGTAAGTATACTATTTCAAAACGAATACACAGCGTTTCAGTTATAACACATTCAAACGATAAAATCTCATTTTAATTTGACAAGAAGTATATTCTAGCGGTAGTACGCTATGTATTTATCTGTGCCTTTTGTCGTCACACAACCGAGGTATTTCAAATTTATATGTTTTTATCTATGAATCAAGTTTTATGGAAAATAGCATTCAGATTGAGTCGAATTTTTGTTTTCTTTCATGTGTTATTTAAACATTTGAAAAATACGTTTTGTTACCAATTAGTAAGAAAAAATATAGCTTGTTGTTTTGTCTTTGATTAGCAATGTCATATGACATGACATTAACATAGATGTATTTTTGATAATGATAAATACCAAAAGGAATACTTTTTGCTACTGTTCTTCATATTTGCATTTCACATACCAACATAAGTTCACATACGGACAAGAGATAACTTAACCAAAAGCACAGATCCCTGCCCCCTTCTCTAATCTTCATCTGTCTTCAGCCCAGGGGACCAGGGGACATACAATAAACCAAACGTGTTCTGCTGTCCCTAATACAACACTTGGAAGACTTGTTTGTATATATTTGTTTCTTTTCACTTCTCTATTCTCCCTTTTCGGTGTTTTTCTCCTACGCGTTCATTTTCTTTTGTCCTTTACTTTTGCAAGGCTATTAAATTCCAAATTAAAACTTAACAATAGGTTAGTGAGCATGGGTATACGGGGATCCTGATAGACTACACGTCTATAAAGATCGACCTCTATAAGTACCACGTAAGGATACTCAAAAATGTGTTTTCTCTTAAGCCTACCCATGTGTTTGTTTCTCTCCTATAGGCAGCATTTATAGACGATTTTGACTATATCATAGCATGAGTTATCTTTAGATATATAATTACATTATAAACTCGCGAGATTGGAAATAATAACAACATAGACTTTTATGACAAAATATATAAAGTTACTCTTATAACATCCTATAACATATTCTGATTTACACCTACTACCCTCCACTGCACATTAAACATACAAAACTCTATCTCCCCACCAAACATTTATATTTACACCTGCTACCCTCCACTACACATTAAACATACAAACCTATATCTCCCCACCAAACATTTATATGTATACCTACTACCCTCCACTACACATTAAACATACAAACCTATATCTCCCCAAGAAACATTTATATGTACACCTACTACCCTCCACTACACAAATATGTACACACAAAATACCCTCTTCTACACATTTACAGAAACACATCCTTCCCTCAAGTACACGCGTATAAAAACTTTTTTTCTCTCTCCATATTACACAATTATGGATACATTTACTACCCTCTTACATATACATATAGACACACCTATTATATGTACCATCTGGTATACATTTATAGAAACAGATCCTAACCTCAAGTATGCGCAAAACATAAAATTCTCCCCGTCATAGCCTTATAGATACATCTACAACTAACATAAACATATTTCCTACTTTTCTCTAGCATTTTTTTGATCTGATCATTATATCGTGAAAAAAACATCATATGTGCCTTACAAGATAGTTACAGGCATAGCAAATTAATATCTTCACATTAATTCTCCTGTTGATGTGTGTTGGTTAAAATGAAAATGAGCATGACATCATCAAGACTATAACATCGTTTCTGAAATGTGCCAGCATGTGTGCATATGAATTCACCTCACGACAGTAAGACCTTAGCTGTCATGTTACCCCATATACACAAATAAACAAACAAACAACTTATCACAGTCATTACAAACCGAAGGCGTGTGTAACTTCTATAAGGTAATGGTTGATAACATAATATATCTGTTTAAATCTTAAGTTAATTAATACTAATACAAATAAAAATAGGATTACATGATCGATACCATCCGAGTCTAATGTTAATGTTCTACTGTAGAAATTTAAAATGTGATCTAATGATAGCTATTACATGTTTAAATGGTTCCATGACAAATACTCTATATATGTGTCCTTCGTATGGGTCCAATTTCAAGACTTCCTTTTCGTGTAACTGGAGTTAAACACTCAAGGTGTTCTTAGTGATAAAAAATAAGCATATTGCAAATTTAACCCTGCATGATTGGAACATAGATATGATCATTGCTGGCTATATAAGGAAGTTATTGAATCAGTTTAAGTTCAATCGCTGCGTAACAAACGTAATGCTGACTGTTTAAACATAAGGAGCACGCACCTGCATATTACTTTATGAGCGATAGGAATGAACTGAATAATTTTTCAAGCGATATGCATTAAATAGTATTTGGTGAGCTAATTCTAAACACAACCACATTTCACCGGATGAAGCGATATCAGGTACGTAGTACATATATAGCTTCCTACTTGATGCATGTAGAGAAATGAATTTAAAATCTTGTTTTAAATCTATTCCTACTCCGGGCAATTATTTTCGAAGGTGTTCCACTTCATAGAAGTATTGTGTGTAAATATGAATATTGACCCTGGGCAAATTGAACAGGCAATTAAAAAACTCACCATAAAGCTTTTCTTCAGAAACTTTTTGATTATCACCCGTTCAAATAGTCCCAATGAGTTTTTTTACGTTCAACGAAACTCTTCAATAATACTGCGATATAAAAAAAACGATGTTTCAAATTATATACTACCTTGAAATGTGATCAAGGAATCATTTTGATAGGGAGCTGAAGATGGGTTTCCTTACACTAAAGAATAGGAGTATGAATAGTTTGGAATAATTATCAGTTAATTTATAGTAGTTTTCAGATCAAATGTGATCGAAAGATAGATTACATGTTGATGAAAGTGACATCCCAGCATGATCTCGTTAGCAAGTAAAATATACCCAGATGAAATAGACATAGAACAGTCCCATCCAATGCCATAACTAAAAAAATAAAAATAAAAAATTGTATCTTAATAGAATTAAAAAAGGAAGACTGAATGTTTCTATAAAGTTTGAATATTTTGAGTCATGCATAATATGTACTACTGCAGCTTAATTACATACACAGATTTGATGACGTGTATATTTGATCCTTTTCCCAGTCATGATAATTGTATCAATCAGGTAAAATTCATAATGCTCAATAATACGAAACGAACCAATATCAAATATTGAATGTCTCCATTGGAAAGGTTCTACATTGAGTTACTGTAATATATGGGGTTTTCTCTGCATCTAGTACAGACATGACCTACTTCCAGTCGTACCGGGAAGCGAAGTGGTCAAGTTTTTATCTGATTTCATTGTCCCCTTCAACAATACTTTTTACGTTAGGTCAGAATCGCCTTACCCAGTTCAATGAACAAGTATTGATCAAAGATTTGAATAACTATAACAAAAAACTGCGTTTAAGTACGTTTGTGTTTGGGTACTAATGATACCGTATGGGTTATGCTATATCATAACTATATGTAGAGGCCATATTCTGATTTAAGTGTACATGTTTATGCATTGACTCTTTTAAATCATTATAGATGCTTCCATACTTTGCATTCTGGTAGTAACTTTACATCACACAAATGGTGGACAATATGTTTCTGGTAAGCTGCTAACATATAGCTGAAAATTAATGAAGATTGGGGACATTAATAAGATTGATCAGTTTGGAATACATGTAATAGCAAAGTAATATCCAACGCGAAACATACAATTTCGTCACATTTCTGTACAGGTTAACCATAAAAATTGCTTGCAAAGTTATAGCTTGCCAAAGGGACAAGTCGGTTTTGAAACGTTGCCACACATTTAATACGTACATTGTTTGTGTATAAAGCAAAACTTTGATATTATTTTGGCACTGTGTGCGTAAACTATAATTTAACAACGAAATAATCATTCTTAGCCAAAAGTTGTCAATTTGTAATGTTGTAAAGGGATTTATAGTCTCATTCCGCCTTAAGCTGTATTTCTGTGAATATATTTCAGAACACTTGAGACATGAATTTCATACTTTTAATATTTATTACTTACAGATGAGTCCTTAATTGCCTTATGGTGCTGTAAATAATTGGTTAATAAAACATTCTATATTGACTTGTTACACTTTGAAATACTATGTATTCCCAGTGATAATTATCATTGTGATATTTTACCCTATTTTTGTACGTGTAATAGTAAAACATCTTTCAGTCAGTGTTAGTCAGTGTAACATCAACAGTGTTAATCAGGGTAAGATTATACACTCGTTTGATCAATGTTATAGTATACCCTCTGGTCCTCTACGGAGAGGACATGGGGGATTTGTTTAGCTACGTTAAGTTGTCGGCACTGTCTTCCTAGCCACCCGTCCTCATATGACCCTGGTTGTTGTGATGACGTCAAACTACAAACAAACAAACAAAATTCCCCTTTTTCAGCATGAATTACATGTTTATTTTACTCGGTATTACTTACAGTAATAGTATACCCTTTCTTAGTCAGTGGTATATCATACTTTCATTCTCATTCTGAATTGTACAGATGTGAAATGGTGGTTTCAGATTTCAATTCTCTAATACAGTTCAACATTAAATATATATATATATAAATTGTCACAATGCTTCCAGTAGATCATACTAGACAATGGTTTCTATAAAAATATCTCCGTATGTTTTGACACTGTTTTGTTTTTGTTTCCAACAATACTACATACATGATTATATGATATGATTACAGAAATATTTGCAATGCTCGTAAATAGCTATCGTACATCTGCTCATTTCGGACATTGTAGTCGATTTGGTATTTATTTCTCATATTGATTGTGGTTTTGTTTTATGTGTTTATCCCACAATTCTGTCGATACCAATTTTGCTAGAAACAGACTTTTACATTATTCCAATTAAAAGTAGAACATGTGATATGAATGCGAATAGATTTTTCTTAAAGCAAATATCTATTCAAATCGTATTTGTCTTTAGGTCCGCCCTGTTATATATGTGAGAGTAACAAACATGTCAGTATTGAACACGAAATATTAACATGTTTCTAGATTATTTTAACAAACGGAAATGTACTCTTAATTTAGCCATAATACGGCACTATGTAGACGTATTTGTTTTAACCCATTTGCCTTTTAAAATCTATGATGTTTTCTGATGAGATATTGATTACAATAATTGTCATAAAGTAGGCAAATATTCGAAGACAATACATAGCTTCCGGTGTAATGGTCATGATTTGGTCCATTATTGTGATCGACAAAGCTCCGTCTGGAGGGCTTTTGAAAAATAGTATTCCCTGTCACACAGTGTCTGGAGCACAAAAAAACAGACATGGACAGTTTCACGAATGTAATTAGTGCAAAAACGAGTATCATGTCGGATGTCAAAATCATTGCAATATACATGGGTTTCAAATACGTTATTCATATATACAACGATCGCCGACCTTGTTTTATCTTCCATTTCAATTTGGTATTGAGTGTCTATAACAATAACTGAAACTTGGCGGTCAATAAAACAATGGTCAGATCAAAAAGGCAGTCATTTATTACTATAATTTAATTTTAACTATCACTTACATTGCTTTGTTTAACGGTTACATATTAGCTACACGTGGTAACCTCATTATTAATACTACATACACCAGAGAAAATCCTGCTTCAATCTGTATGCAATCCATAGACTATCAATCGAGATAAGCTCATGTAGAGTCCAACTGTAATATGTTTAGCTGTTGTCTTGATATCATAGTATACAGTCGAAAGTCTATGACGCCGAAATCATATGAAACGTAGGAATAAAATGTAATTTGGTCTAACTACATATTCATCTGACGTTTCGAAAATGTATAATCTAAGTTCGAGATTTAATCTGGTTTAACTAAAATTCTTCAGTCCATTTAATTAATTGACATTTACTTGCAAATATGTTTGGACATTACTCGTTACAAAGTGGCTCTACCTAATATAGTATCATACCTGTTGTATGTACTAAGGATTTACCTTAACACAGGTACGCAAACAAATGTACAGGTTTCATAGAGCATTGCTAATGTATCGTCGAAACAGTTCAGGGACATCGACACAACAATAATAGACAGATTCTTCCAACATTTCCAACATAATGTAAGATATTATCACGAAATTAAAGGGGAATTTAAATGTCCTTACTCGGGTCGAGTTAATACTGTCCTTGTATTAATATGCTATACACAGTAAGCTCCTTACTGTGTCCGACTTTTCTTTCTCCTGTAATGGTATTACTCAAAGGATATCCAATGCGTATGAATAGGACATTTAAATGTTTAGAATGACTTGTACTATAACACTTTATCAGATGGTGTAACTAGTTATACATAATTGAATGCAATATATTGTAGGGCAATTCTTTTAAGTTAATAGTGTTTTTGGTTTGATACTCTAGATTTAACGATTTTCGTTTTTCACCTGCACTCAGGTTCTAAAAAGTTATTCACATTTAACTACTTAACTTACTTTTTTATTTATAGATTTATGGATAAAATTGAATATGTGTATGTCGCTTTCAAAGAATCATGGCACTCGGTACACGTTGTAATTGATATCAATGTTATGACGGGCCATGTTTTAACTATAAAACCCATATATATCTCAATTTTTGTATTATAAATGTTTCTTTGGTCTCAGATGGAAAGTTGTCAAAAATCCGTTTAATTATTATCATGTGTAAAACAACAATAATCTCGTCAAGGATCGATGATCAAATTATGCTTACCAAGAATGCATATATTTCCATACTTAAAAAATGGTGGAGGCCAATATTCTCTAAAACAAATTCAGTTTTAATATCGCCCCCACCCCCCCAAAAAATCCCAGACAAACCCAAACAAAGAAAAACAAACATAAAAACTGTACCATGGGAATGAAATGATCACAAATTCAAGTCAAGTTCCACGTAATGTTAAATATATGTACTAGTATATATTTTTTTAGGCTGCAAATACTGATACATTTCTAACTGAGGTCAAATAATCTATTTTCATTTGTATGAAGGCCAGACTATGTATTTTACGAAAAGCAAGGCCATGGTATTCATTTACAAAGTATGACATTCTCTTATTTGTCGCTTCCAGGTGGTCCGGATGTATTGAACGACACCCTTGTTAATTGGGATGGAAATGTGAATTATGACGTATACAACATAGCGACACATCACGTGCTTGGTAGGTGAGGCTTATAACCTACTTCAATAAACCATGATTTGTCAACTTAATGAAGATTGATAAAAAGTGATAGAAAGTTACCATTTGAAAAAAAGTACTCAAACCAGTTTACACGTACAAAATACCATTCAGGTAAAAATCGAAAAATACAAATGACATCAGTTATATAAATGTGTTATATGATGATTATTTAAAATTCTCACTAAGTAATTTAAACAAAAAAGGCTTTCTTCCTGATAGATAACAGGTGAAACATTATCAATTAAATAACTCCTGATGAAGACTTAATCAATTAATTTATGAGCTGTGAAAGAACAGTTCTGTGATAATTCTAAAAATAGGCACACACTTTAGGTGCAATATTGATCACCGACATTAACGGAGTCGTTGTGGTAGTGGGAATACTTAACAATGCAGCTAATCATCCCATTCGGAACGACAACAACAAATGATTAATCAATGTGTGTATGAGCTGTTGAGATAGGATGACGGTTTGGTAAGGAGGTTTATCTCTCTATACCATGCTTTCCTACAGTACAATGAAGGTAGGTGTAAATTTATAAGACAATGGCGTGTTAGTGATATATTGTTTTTCTTGTTTCCTATAATCTGCCTTATTTACCTGAGTTTATACAAAACATTTCTGCATTTAAGGTGGCTCCACACATCGTCATCAGCGTCCATTTTCGTGACTTACTTCCGGAAAAAGTACAGCTCGGACTCAATTATCTTGATCTAAATGTGCATGTGCACCGTGACGTCTTTTCCGTATTGCGTATCGGGCATTCAATATCGTAGTGCAAATTATAGTAACACCTGGCCCTTTTTTTTTTATATATTTTTTTATTTTTGGGGGGTTGGGTTGGATTTGCTCGGAACTGTATTATGCAGGCGCAAGTATATATACTTTATATATAAATTGGCATAAGCAAAATACTGTTTTATCATCCTGAAATGTTATTATCTGAGGGTGAAGTCCGTGGTATGGTTTATTTTGAGAGAACAATACAATAACTAATTCACTGTGTCGACTTTAAATCGCTTCTATTCTAACTATGCAACCATAAGGTATAAAGTATTGGTGTTATTGACGTTCTCTGCTGTTTGTAAAAACAAATCCTGTTTGCCTCGGACAATAGACATGATCAATAATAACAAGCATATAGGGTAATAGCAACAAATGGTTAACCCGTTGTTGGTATAATGTGACCGGGTGGAATGCTGTGCTGGGTGCCTTCGTCATGGTATTTCAGTGAGGTAGCGCTATAAAGTCGGCATCAGATCCGCGTTTTCACAATGAGGCATTTACACATACATAGCATGCCTCCAGCACACGTTCCCATATACACACAGATACAACATACATGGAGTTATGTCCTTAAATGACCTGAGCTGTTTATACTGTCGTAATGTTAAGCATAGTACAGATATCAATGTAATGCAGAGTGGGAAATTAGTGTACAGGTCGATTGAACTGATTCGTTTGTACATAAGTGTCAAATGTGAATGAAGTGTTGAAGTTAACAGTAATTTGGTATTCGAGTGGGGTAACCAACACACATTTTCTATTCTATGAATATATATATTATTTTTCAATTATTTAAAAAACATATACATTATGAATGTAAAAAATCCTTTACTTGATAATTCCTTGCACGGTTGGAGTTCAACCTAGTTTAATATCGACTAGAAAGTAAACATTTAAACTACACTATTACAAAATAATACCCTTCCTATATTTGTGTGTGGCGTGTTTTGTAAAGGCGTGGCTTTTTTTTAAATCTGAAAACTATGATCTGATCTTTTCGATAGTAACGCCATTTTTCAATATCTAATAAGCATCCCAAAAATTACCAGAACAGGAGGGTTTATCGCTGACACGTTTGATAACTCAATTATAATTTGCTTAATTCTTCTTTCGCTGTATCTAGTAAACAAGTTGATACCTCTGAGTTTGAACCTCTTTGTTTTAGATTACAATTATGCCGTCCTCTTCATCCAACGAGAAGCTTTTCTGGGCGGACCGGAAGAACCGGATGGAGAAAAGTCGTTTAGATCTCATACTCAAAAACATGGAAAAGGAACAAATGTACCTAACACATGATATAGACCGTGAAAAAAGAGCCGTTGTCAAGAATTTTACATTGGTGCGTCGAACTTCTGGTGTGAGCGATCAGGGGGTTCCGCCGCGTAACGAAAAGGACACCGATTATCAAAGTGCGCCGAATTACAGGATGGGGCTCCGATTGAGTGAGCGGCGTCTGTTAGAATGGCGCGAAAATGAAAAACAGGTAGAAAAGTTCATGCACCAGTCAGCATGGGAAATGGCTAAAGTCAGTGGAAAATATCGACGTCATTCTTCTCCAGAAGGTATTAGACTTCCCAAAAGAGCACAAAGTGCAAAAAGTTACAACCGATCAACATCATCAGTTGGAGGTTACACAGAGGTCAAAGTCCTTGATGACGACGTATTCACAAACGGTACCGGATTTCCTACAACTTTAACACATCAATCCGACAGTGTGGTTGACCTCAATCCCAAGGAACTAGAAAAACAAATCTTTCAAGACTATAAAGAGTCTATCCACAAAACGCGCATACCATCTACCTCGGACGTATTAAAACTGAAGAAGACGCGACAGGTACGATCTGACAGTGATCTGGGCAGAGACGAAGAGAAACGATTACGGTTTAGGCCGCATACAGCTTCAGTTACGTCGCATACTAAGAGAAAGTCATTGCGGGGATTTCCTGCAAGACCTGCGACTGCCTGGTCTAAAATACAGGATAACGAAAAGAAGGGAAACCTAGTTAAGAATTGTTTCGAAAGAGATGATATTGAGGACAATACTAGAGAAATACTCGTAGATTACTTTATGACAAAACCTTCGGCTGATCAGGAACATTTATCGGACGCTAGCGCATCGACAGTTTCCGAGGAAACAGCTGGAGGAAGGCAAACCGACGAGATATCTGAATGCGGAAGTGACTTTGGAAGCTCTGTTTCGAATCCTAGTCCAAGAACTATATCAGATCGGATGAGAGCTCTAATGCCAGAAGTAGAAGATAAGTTAAAAGAAACCTATATAAATTCGTCCATAACTATCATCTATGGCGAAGGAGATGAGTCGAATAATAATAATGAGGATGTGTCAGAAAATCACGTCGATGATGTCCTACAGGGAACGGATGTTAGCGATAGAGAAACTTGGATGGAACTCCAGGGCAGTACAGAATTGGAAACTATTAAAAATAACGTTGAAGATGAACCAGATTCAATCTCGAATCAAAAACCAAACCGCTTCGATACAGAGGGGGATCAATATGTGACTCCGCTGAATGGAATTATGAAAACTGACAATAGTTCTAAACTAGATTTTGCAAGTAGTCATCCAAAACTAGATGACCAATTGCCTATACAAGCTGACCTTGGTGACATGGTTGACGGTCGATATCCCAGGTCACGACGAAAGGTAAATCGTGTCCTGACAGGAATCGCAGAGGACAAGGTACTTACCATAGTTGATGGAACTTCTCAGGAAGGTAACGATGCAAATCGTAGTCATGGTGATGACATGCTCTCTACAACATCACCTAGTTCCTCGTCGCGTCTGACGTCACGACAACGACGGACAAGCACTACCAGCACCCTGACTCAGTCAGATCGTCTGTCTGGTATGTACAGTAGTATGAGTGACATTTATTCTATCGGGTCGGACGGACAAAGACGTCCGAGTAAATGGCGTCAGTACGTGGCGGCGGATACTGCACCTGTGCCACAGAAAAAAATTGTGACTGTTACAGCTGTTGTTCGAGCTGCGCTTGCATTCTCGAAAATGGCACGAAAACGCGCGCTCAACAAACTTGTGGAGGAACAAAGCACAGATCCTGTAGAACTGATCCGACAAGAACGACTGCGCCGTTTGCATTCAAGGAACAACATACTGCAAACAATTACAAACTCTTGGTCTTTGAACGGGGACAACAGTATCCCCGAGCTACAAGAACAAGTTTGAGATGTACTGGTTGAGAATAATGTACTCAGACCATGTTCTGTCTTCAATAACGCAATACCGATTGTTTCTCCATAACGGAGTAAAAAAACCCAAAAAACCCAGACATTATACAGACATATCGTTTGTACAGAAAAGCCTAAATGAATTCGATTTAGCTTGCTTTACAGTGAAGTGTTGGTGACCAGTAACATCAGACCAGTGACTTCATTTTTGTGTGAATAGTTAATACCACCTTCTTGTTCGAACGTCGATACTGTCTCTCGTGTTGGAGATTCGCTGCATGAATGCGTGCAGAAGATACAATCGGTCACACTGAGAATTGGGGAGGATATTCGAAGGACATCTGTGTTGATTGCATGAAATCACATTTGGATCAACTAGTCTTGTGTATTTTGTTAAGACAATCATGATCAAAACCATTCATACATTTTTACATTGATATAGACGTGGTGTTAATGTCGCAATGTTGTCGATGTATTATGTACTAATGTGTTACACTGAATAGCAATATGCCATATCATTAAATATCATTTGAAAAAGAGTCCTTTTTTCCGGTATATTGTATTTAGGCAGCGATATATATCAACATGTTATTCACTTAGCAAATTGTAATTTATGTCGAGTTTGTAAAGGGATTTCTGAAAGCGCATGATGTTGTGAAGGGGTTTGACTAACTCTTTGATATCGATTCTATCCCACCTACACGTTTTGTTTGTGTTTAAAACTAGTTAACGGTTGTCATATAAAATACACACATGTTGGTGATGAACTACATTAACAGATGTGTTGCCGTTCAAAAGTTATTGATCTTGCAAAATAAAGAGATTATAAACGAAAATAAATGTGAAAATACAAAGGAAATAGCTGCAGAGCAAAACGTGAACTGTACTGCATAAACAATTGCGTTGAAAATACTGAACGTATAAGTATTAAATGTGTTTATGTCCTTACTTTAGGTTCTTCTTGTAAACGCTTTTATCAATCTAATCAATTTAAGTACCATTTAATGTTTAGACATGTTTGATGAATAAATTCTTGGTTACAGAGTCACTAATTATGTACTTCAGCCGAACAGTTTTCCTGGTAAATTTATTTGATTTATAGGTACATGAAAGGCAGATAAAGGCAGTTTACCTGGTCATATTGACCTCGTACGTACTCTGTCAGGGTCAATATTTTATTGCTAAGTATAAATACAATACCCCACACTTCATTCCTAAGATGAAGTACCGTTTGTCGATGTCTGTAGTGACGAATGTGTATTACTTGTACACACCCCTGTATACAGATGTGTTAGCCTAGTAAACCCCAAATATCAATACACTTTGATATTGATCTCCACGGGTCAATATGAGCGCCAAATGTCCGTTCGTTTTGTCAATATATTTGTTTAAGTTCTTAACCCTGAGATAAGCTTTACCTAATATTTTGTTATTTTCCTGATCAATTCAAGCACTCCCCTACTCATATCCACAAAGTGACGTGTCACATAAACGCTGCTGATGATATATACAGACAAACAGTTTAAATGTATTTTATTTCTCTACACAAACAACGAGATGGTCTGGTGACGCTTAAATACCATTGTGACTGACAACTCAAAGAAGGCGAGATGTCTCAAGAATTGAACAAACATGTATCTGTTTGCATTTTGTAGTATAACATGTCTTTTTCAGATGAAGTTGTTCCAATTCTGAAAAACGGTCAATTGTGTAACTCACAAGAGACTCGTCTAAAGTACTTAATGACGCGTATTCTGCGGTGTTTAGTGTTTCATCTACTATAAAAAGGTGGTGACATACCCGAAAGAAAGAGCCTGAGACGAAGCAGGCTTTGGTGACAAAATAGTTTGCGAAAGCTTTGGCTAAACGTCCATTTCATAGAAAGTGTTCTTCTCAATTCAAAGAATAGAACAGTGGAATAAACACAGAAAAAGAAAGCAATAGGGAACAGTCACACCATACAATGGATAATATAAATGACGACAAAACTGGAAATATGTTTATATGCTTAATTTTCCTTTACGCCAAAAACATGTTTTTCTTTTCATAAAAAAGCGGGGATTAATCAAAACTCAAAAAGGAGAATAGTTTTGATGCTATACTAATGTTTAAGTATAATTTTAATTGAAAGTTTATACTTTTTCAATAAATGGTACATTTTTTTTTTTTTTTTTTTAATCATGTGATATCCCGTATTAGGCTGTCAGGAAACGAACGTCTTACACATCCCCTATCAGGATTTATTGTAAAACTCTATGCTGTCATCGTTTCAAATATTTGAAAAGAGGTATTTTGACAAATTGATGTTTATGGAGTTCCTATTGTGCTACAAGGTAACTGTTTATTCTTTTTTTTATGAGACATATTTGATTCGCGAAGGATACTCGTTCAAAATATTGTAATGAATTCAAAATTAAAATTGAAACTTTAGATATACCAGTTTAACTTTCAGTGTGAAGCGGTGACCGAGTACCTTGTCATTCGTTTACGAGATTGTATTCTCCGCCTCAGAGTGAATGGAAAATATAAATCGAAAACATCTAAACCAATGTCGTCTTTAATGTTGATGCTGCCATGGTCTCTTTATGACGTCATTCCGATCGACGTGTTAAAGTTATACATACAATTGTATTTGATAGACATATTAACATGACTCCATCAAGTTATATGAGAAATTCAATATATCGATAGGTCTTTGTACCTACAAACATGTCTATGCTCATTATCATATTTATATAACATGTTTTACATTAATAAAAAAAAATCAATAATAGCCGTTACAGGGATGGGACATACATTGTACACCTATCACCATTCGCACTCAGTAAAAAGCGAATATACTTGCTTATATATATGAGTTTGTTATTACATGTAACAGCTAACTTCTAAACTTGTTGTCAATACGTCATTCAGTGTTATTGATCATTTCAAACTGATACATTCGGTAAGTATACAGTTATGACGTCAATAAACACAAGGTGACAGTGACCCAGTTAGTAGGTTTAATTTCTAGTGTTTTTGTTTGATCGCAACAGTTAATGGATACTTAACATACATTTACAAACATTATAATTTTCAGTTTATAAGAAATTTCACGGTGAAGGTTATCATAATAAAAAAGCCCATTTAAGACACTGCAACTCTACCTTAAATACCACTTAAATATGCAGTATATGACTAGCGAGGACCATGGTATGTTTCGTGAACGTTAGATATAACGTTGATGCTTTTTCAATATTATGGTTTTGAATTATCTGCATATTTAAGGAAACTTTATCATCGCCATGTCAAAAAAATAAAACACCTTTATATCTTGTGTGGCTCAATACCTTTGCTAAACGGAAACAAAATGTGTTTAAATGAACACACAGAGGGAGTTGTTTGCTGAAATCATACCAGGACAACCGTCTTGAAATCCAGAACTTAGTTTAATTTGTGCCACGTGAATCTGTGTGGAATATGATTTAAACAAGCATTAGCCAGTTAATATAGGCATGAAATTCCATATCACGATTTTCTCTCATATATTATTATCATTAAAAAAAAATCCTCAAAAAGGAATAACATAAACCGCTTAGCAGTAATATATAGAGGATCTGACACGAGTGTTCAGGTAATATTGAATTTATTGAACGAGTTTATTAATTGCATATCAAACTAATAAACGAGTTTAATAAATTCAATATTACATGAACACGAGTGTTATATTCTATTTATTATATAATTCGAGAAACACTCTTTTTTCTTGACACGTCTCTTATATAAACTGTACCGATGGCTGACGAAAGGACGCATTACATGCATTTTGTTTGGAGTTCACTGCGCCACAACAAATAGTTTCAGAAACTTTTCCCCGAGAACCTTTTCAATGAAAAACCAATCATTTAGGTTTTCTTCATCAACTAATGTTTTAATAATTATCATAACAACATTAATAATCATTTTTTATACGAAAACCATTCAACGAATTGGCGTTTACGAAAAGAGCAATGACGTCACATATTTGGCACAACGGCGCGTGCACTGTCAAGGTAAAGGTTATCACAATACACACCGAAGTCTGCACTTTTTGAAAGTTTACAGGGACTGGGGTGATTGTCACTCTCTATAACACAAGCGCATTTCTTTGGAGAGGGTTGTTGGTGAATGTGAACCTTGAGGTTTCCGCCTGTCACTGTGAATGAGCCAGAAAATATACTGTGGAATCCGCCATGAAACTGGAACACTGATGAAGTTGACCGGTTACATGTGTTCGCCATTGATTGTGTGCATGTCGGAGAAGTTCAAGTGGAATTTGAACACGTATGTGTTGACTTTGTGTGAAGCTAACACTCGTGTTTATATAATATTGAATTTATTAAACTCGGTCGTTATTTTATTCTCCCAGTGCCCCTTGTCTCTGCTATCAATGCAAACAGTTATTCGGTCAGCCATTTTGTTAACAAACGTAGAAGTTGTAATGCGTAGGAATATGACCTGTTTCCCACGACTCATTTGCATGTTTATTGTACGTGTGCTATATCGTTTTTATTGAACGGTAATATTGCACGGAAAAAGCCCGTATTATATAATAAAACGTTTTATTGATTATAAACAGTGGGGTAGGTAAATTAACAAAATCAGATCGACTGAAAATTGTACACAATTGGCCCTATTGGAGTACAAGTACCACTCATCTGTTGAAATTTTCTGATCTTTGTGTTTAACTAGGCAGGGAGTTAGACATAGGAGACTTCAATCTATGTTGAAAAATAACCATTATAGTCATTATGCCCTCATTGCCTTCACTGTACGATTTCAGTGTCTATTTACTGCTCATGGTTTGTTAAAATGTTGGTGATGTGCATAATGAAAAAGCTTATTTAAGACACTGCAACTCTACCTTAAATACCACTTACATATACAGCTACAGCATACGACTAGCGAGGACCTATGCTATGTTTCGTGAACGTTAGATATAACGTTGATGCTTTTTCAATATTATGGTTTTAAATTATCTGCATATTTAAGGAAACTTTATCATCGCCATGTCAAAAAAATAAAACACCTTTATATCTTGTGTGGCTCAATACCTTTGCTAAACGGAAACAAAATGTGTTTAAATGAACACACAGAGGGAGTTGTTTGCTGAAATCATACCAGGACAACCGTCTTGAAATCCAGAACTTAGTTTAATTTGTGCCACGTGAATCTGTGTGGAATATGATTTAAACAAGCATTAGCCAGTTAATATAGGCATGAAATTCCATATCACGATTTTCTCTCATATATTATTATCATTAACAAAAAACTCCTCAAAAAGGAATAACATAAACCGCTTAGCAGTAATATATAGAGGATCTGACACGAGTGTTCAGGTAATATTGAATTTATTGAACGAGTTTATTAATTTCATATCAAACTAATAAACGAGTTTAATAAATTCAATATTACATGAACACGAGTGTTAGATTCTATTTATTATATAATTCGAGAAAACGCTCTTTTTCTTGACACGTATATAAATTGTACCGATGGCTGACGAAAGGACGCATTACATGCATTTTGTTTGGAGTTCACTGCGCCACAACAAATAGTTTCGGAAACTTTTCCCCGGGAACCTTTTCAATGAACAAACAATCATTTAGGTTTTCTTCATCAACTAATGTTTTAATAATTATCATAACAACATTAATAATCATTTTTTATACGAAAACCATTCAACGAATTGGCGTTTACGAAAAGAGCAATGACGTCACATATTTGGCACAACGGCGCGTGCACTGTCAAGGTAAAGGTTATCACAATACACATCGAAGTCTGCACTTTTTGAAAGTTTACAGGGACTGGGGTGATTGTCACTCTCTATAACACAAGCGCATTTCTTTGGAGAGGGTTGTTGGTGAATGTGAACCTTGAGGTTTCCGCCTGTCACTGTGCATGAGCCAGAAAATATACTGTGGAATCCGCCATGAAACTGGAACACTGATGAAGTTGACCGGTTACATGTGTTCGCCATTGATTGTGTGAATGTCGGAGAAGTTCAAGTGGAATTTAATGAGGCATGTATTGACTTTGTATGAAGCCAATACTCGTGTTTATATAATATTGAATTTATTAAACTCGTTTGTTATTTTATTCTCCTAGTATACAATTTTTGTATGGCTATTTGGGGAACAATCAATGCAAACAGGACGCATTTCAGCCATTTTGTTTACAAACGTAGAAGTTGTAATGCGTAGGAATATGACCTGTTTCCCACGACTCATTTGCATGTTTATTGTACGTGTGCTATATCGTTTTTATTGAACGGTAATATTGCACGGAAATAGCCCGTATTATATAATAAAACGTTTTATTGATTATAAACAGTGGGGTAGGTGAATTAACAAAATCAGATCGACTGAAAATTGTACACAATTGGCCCTATTGGAGTACATGTACCACTCATCTGTTGTAATTTTCTGATCTTTGTGTTTAACTAGGCAGGGAGTTAGACATAGGAGACTTCAATCTATGTTGAAAAATAACCATTATAGTCATTATGCCCTCATTGCCTTCACTGTACGATTTCAGTGTCTATTTTCTGCTCATGGTTTGTTAAAATGTTGGTGATGTGCCGTGATTCTTCTTTATTTAACGGTGGACATCATGATTGAAGCAGAAACGTTCACCCTTAAGGAACACCTGGATTCCCCCCACTTGTATTTGAACTTAAATTCATGTCTGTTTTTGTTGTGTTGTTGACCCCTTTTAAATATCTTAAGGATTCTGTTCGTCGCTGTAGTATTTTTGGGTGATGTGCTTAAAATTATACTAATCTTTCTTACTTTTCTACGCAGCTTTTTTGAGATTTTCACCAGGGACGAAAACGCTTTCAAATAAGCATGATGCACAAGACGTTATTTGCTTAGAGAGTCCAAATTTGACGTGTATCGAGCAGGGTGTTTCGACCTGTTGGCGATGCAAGTGTCCCCAGACATGGCACATGTCCACGCATTAGGGAAAATGGACCGTAGAATCCGGTTAAGGTTGAGATAAACAAGTAGCCACTGAGCTAAACAATAAATTGGACCAGCATATTGCATGTCATTGATGTGTTTTGTACAGATATGGCTGTAAAAGGGAACCTTTACGTGTGGTAGCTTATCAATAGTTATAGTAGGCCGTTACGATTACGGACAATTAGTGGCAATCAAAGTTAGGGGATATTTTTAAATCTTATCAATAATAACGAACGCTGAAGGTATTTATATCATTGATTTTTTTGGTCAAGTCAAAGAACTACTGTGATCGTTACAAGGATTTTAAACTCCATATAATTACACCTAAAGGTGTTTTTTGTTTGTGTTGAATAGTTTGCATTGCATGTCTTCTATTCTAAACAATTTACAAACGTGGCCTGTTTTCCCAAACAGTAAACAAGGTTGTGAATGTTTTATTTTCAATAGTTTCTTAAAATAATCTTAACAGACATAGCCGATCGAGTACTGCAATATTAAAAATGACATCAGCCGGGTTCATCAGTCCATGGACTTGTCTAAAAATGTCTTCATGGTGGCGGGTCAGCAGTGGCAATCAACGAAAATTCCGCTCTCCCTCCGATAACCTTGACATCTTTGCTGTAAACAAAATTTCGTAAGCTTTGTGTACTAGACGCCTTTCTCCCGTTCGCCTGGTCTCACCTCCCTTTCGAATGGAGTGTCAACTCGTTGGCCTAATTTACCAGGATTCGGTAGACTATATGTACACCACCACAGGACATAGCGTTATCTGGACCGCGTCTGGGTACAACTGTGTCTTTTCCAGGTCTATCATCATCTCACATACACACATGCACGAATACATTACACATTGAGGCACGTCCTCACATGACCTTTGCTGGTACCCATTGAGGCACGTCCTCACATGACCTTTGCTGGTACACATTGAGGCACGTCCTCACATGACCTTCGCTGATACACATTGAGGCACGTCCTCACATGACCTTCGCTGGTACACATTGAGGCACGTCCTCATATGACCTTCGCTGGTACACATTAAGGCACGTCCTCAAATGACCTTCGCTGGTGTTAAGACGTTAAAACGCTATAACAAACTAGCTTGGGTGAAGTTGCAAACAATAAAATAAATCTAATCTGCTTCTATTAGAAATTAGAACTTTAACAGTCTCGTTTAAACGTTACTCATCATATTAATTGGATTTTAGTGTCATGGCGTATGATTTTAATTCGGCTATCTGGTCATGTCGGAATAACTGGAAATGATAAAGAGTAGAATACCTACAACCGTAATATATTAAACTGCATGACCCTGAAGTTTGACCTTTTATAGCATTTTTTTAAACGAATGGTCCGACTTCAGAAGCAAACAATACGTTAATTGCAATTCAACCTGATGCGAGTTCATGTACAACACGAAGAGCAGACCGAAGAGAGAAGGTTGTCACACATACATTACATTACACACGCTTACAATTTAAGAGAAGAATGCAAACGTTATTGTCATGCTGTTGCTCAACACATTTACAATCAAACATTTTATGAATAAATGCACTGATTTCAAACAAATGGATGACAAATTTAGATATATGTCGCCAATAAACCTTTGTTTTAACCACTCTCTGTGCCATTAATATAGGATTTTCAAATTCAGTTTATCCTCACAATAAGATCTAACAGCCAAATATTTTGCTGTTCAGGTTTTACCACACCTTTTGACCAATTTTTACAGTGGTTTTTTTTTGTCATTAAATTACTGAAAAAAACCAACAAATAACAAGCAAACCATTATTTGTCATGTCTCAGCGCACTCAACGGTGCGTCAGTCCTACTTTTAGAACTGGAAGGAGGATGGTTTTATGTTTGTGGTTGGGACATTTTCTTACGCCATTCAACATAGAGAGTACAGGTCCTCGAAGCACCTTGTCGCGACTGCAACGGTGTCACTGACAGGATATTGTAGTGAATATCCTATGGCTCTTGGTTACTTACCAAACTGACAGTTTAGATATACGTTTAACGCTGCCCCCAACCCCCTAACTAGTACCAACGGGGTATGCTATGTGTCTAACACAATTATCGCAATAATTAAAGGCATCCGTTTGACGTTCCAACATCGAGATGACAAGCATCGAGTTTAGACTGGTTCAAGTTTTTTGTGATGTTTTGTTGAGGTTTTAATGTCTTCTAAACAGCTGACGTCATACAGAAAAACATGTTATAGGTATACGGTAGCACAGCCAGTGAGAACGAAAACAGTGAGGCAGCGCTAACCTTGTACATATACTGATATAGAAATAAGTCTAAATTATCCAGTCTGTCCCGGGTACGTATATATTATTATAACTTTTTAATGTATTTCACAAAAATACTGCTTTGTATTTGGTGGTGAAAATAATGAAACAAAGGAAATATTAGTAAAATGAGAAACACAGATAAAGATGATGACTTTCTTAAGACATCGCAGAAACAAGAACAGGGAATATTTCATCTGCATCGAACATGCTGTGTCCATCATTTAATTGTCACCTTAGTTATAAGTTATATAATCAAAGCAAATTATGTACAAATAGGTGTTCTGTCGCGACGTCTTCTACAATATACCATAGACGTACACAAAACATTGGTTCAGTTAAAGATGTTTCTTCCATTTAAATTAACAAGGTATTTAAAAATCATAGTAATATTTTCCCTCTCTTATGATATTTTAATGCTTTATCATACACGAAATGCAAAGTTACTGAAACAATTACTTATGATAAAATTATGCTATTGTGATATAGAAGTTACAAAAATCTCTAAACAGATACGAACGCCATAGCAATACCTTTACGATTCTACGAGTAGGCTCCCCTTACAAGTACATTTTTACTACTTTTCATATAACTTTGCTTTACTTGGTTCAATTTCAATAAGAATAAAACCACAAAAAGGATGTGCCTATCATTCGTTTTTAATTGTGCATATTAGTACAAACATTAATATTGTTTATTTAAGACTGATCAAATTGAATCACAAGATATACTAGTTACTTATTTCCCGCCCAACGAATCTACTGGCTTTGCCACTGATCGGAGTTACTTCCCCTACTCCAAGTGTTACGTTGTAAGAAACTACACTATTCACATTGTAAAATAGATATAACTTTAAATTAATTTTTAAGTCAAAAACAATAATAAAAATGGTGAAGGAGACATCGAAGAAGCCAAAATGTATCTGCTGCCCCTTTTTCAACACCTGGGTTCTTTATCTTTCTTTTCTCACTCATCTACTCTTTCCTTACGGCGGTATCTCCTACGTACATGTCTTTACTTGGCCTCAACTGTTGGGAGGTCGTCAAAGCCCTAACACACAAACAGGATTAGAACCAACAACTATGTTTCTGCGACAAATTCTTATATATTTTTTGCTAAAGTTTTTCACACCCAAAGTATCCATGCTTGGTTGTCAGCCCAATGTAGAACTCTTCCTTTTAATTCGTCTTACTGAAGCCTTAAGCCGAGAAATATCTTGTTGAATGGAAGATATTGATTGTTCAAGTCCACTCATTGACATCTCGATGTTCTGAATCTGTAGCAGAAGAAAATCAACTTAAATCAATGGTGAACTTAGTTTCTTAACGAAAGATGTTTCAACGTTTTAAGTATACTTCCTAACGATAAATACAACTACCTTCAAATATTATTTCCTCAATATTGCTCAGAGCTGTGTTTTGGAAACTACTGCATTCACATTCTATAAATATATCGCTAAATATATATATTCATTTGCATTTTGTAGCCTTTGTACCCGTGATTAACTGCCTGAGGTGGGCGTGGGAACTGCGGGTCATAGATGATATCCAGGGATTACACTCACATTTGCTTCCAGCACTCCTGGAAAATGTCATAACAAAACTAAAGGCATGTTGGCTAGCTATTTGATCGATCTCGGGTAAAAATATCTGACCAATTGATGTCCTTTGAAAATTACAGGTGGGTGACAGCCTACTTTAAAGAAAGTCAATTTTACCGTTACGTGACCGCGAGATTATTTTGATGTACATCGAAGGATCAAACTAGCCTTGCCTCATCAACAGGGTGGCGCACACAGAGCCTTCGATTTTGCTATGACACTTTTCAGCGAAACCCCTGGACTAACGAGGATGGCAAAGGTCTGCCGTAAAACAGCTTTATTTCATGATAAACATACACAGTATCACAATATGTCGTTATCTGTTTAAGCGAGGATACAAACGAAATTAATCTTCCTATAATATCACAAGTTAAAGTAAATCGTTATACCAAGTTTATATCACGAGTAAACTTTTTCAATATACTAAGATATTTTATGTCACAAGTCATTTGTTATAACGAGGTATACAATGTCACGCGATAAAAACATCAGTTATAACGACCTACAAATTGCCCTGGTATTGGTTATAACTAAGTATGTGGCCATATATCGAAACAAACAGCTATTATTAGAGGAGTTCAAGATCTGTTTCATTGATTGGTTGACAATGTAAGGAAGTTAACCTGCGTCTTCCTTGGTGTCACCTGCGTCTGTAAAGCGTCCAATCCGGCCTTGACCTCTCCGTACTTGGTCCATATGTCGTTGACCGTGTAAACAATACCGACAATGACAGCACGATGCGTTGAACATTTAAAACATAAATATAATATGGCAAGTCAAATTAATATTCACGAAGGAGCAATAATGTCGATCCTTGGTTAAATAAATTGAAACAATATTCTAATAGAAGATATATATGTATTATATGAGAAATCGTAAATAAAAATATGGAAGATATGTTAATATACATTACATGACATCTTACATGTACATGTTCATAAGAAACATTATTGTTAAATAAACTCTATGAAATATCACAACGTATAATATTATAAATGTAAATAAGGTATATGAGTAATTATACCTCTGATGTATCATTTTCCTTATGACGTATTTTATAAAAGATACCTTTTGAAGTTTGCTTTACCGGTACACTAAAGAAGATATATGATATATGTAATATACTTTATATTATATCATTACATTAGAGAAATAAAATATCTCATAACAACTTCTTTATCATATATATTATTTGTTATAAAAGATATTTTATACATTATATTATAGAATTAGTTATTTTAGATAAATTATAAGATATCTCATATGATCATTTCTGGTTGACAGGGATGGTATTTCAGTGCGCTAGCACTCTGAAGTCGGCATCAGATCCGCGCTATCACAAGGAGGCAAGTACACCAACATACCCTGTCTTTAGCACTCATACAAACATCTACGCATGCATTACACACATGGAGGCACGTCCTTAAATAACACTGGTTGTTTAAAGTACGTTTAACAAAATCAAACAAACCGAAATCTTATTAAGATTTGTATCCGATATAGGATGTATATTAATTCGGCTAACCTCGGTCGATTCCGGTACCCTTCATTTTGATGTAGGTACGGAATCTGCCGAGATGTGACGAGTGGATATATATTATGTACAATTTATCGAATAAGACATCATAAAAAATATCATATCTTTTTACAGCCTGTCTAAATATTTCATATTATGTACATCATAAAGATAATTTCATGAGAAAATAAGATATTCTTTAATACATTATAAGTTGTCTTTGCCATATCATTAAATGACTGAGTGTTGTTCCTCACATATAACAAATAAAATACAGGCGAATTAAGATGTAGGCTAAATATATAACCTACCTCGCTGTGAATGGCGGCCGACTTACTGGACGAAAGAGGGGATACTTTAAGTACGACGACCAACAGACAGATCAGTAACGTCTTGTTGATCATGTTCATATCACCACACGCCAGGAGTTAAGAATCAGTCCTCCTGTTTAACTCATATCACGGAAACAAAATCTTCACCAGTCAAACAGCGACGTAAACAACATATGTTCATCGTCCATGACATTTGAAAATAATTCACAAATTGAAGTGCTGACATTTTGTTGGGAAATGAAATGCTTTCGAGGGGAAATCGTTTTAGTAAAATTAACGTGTTTTTTTTAACAATTTATCATTGTTTACTGACTGACATTTATGGTATTAAGCTTGGTGGTGGAACACTCGGTATTGTAATAATTTCAAAGGCAGGGCTCTATATTAATCTGGGTTGGGACCAAATGAGTATTGTGTAAGTTGCTAATTAGATGTGATAATAGTTTTCATTATTTTTTATCGATGATTTATGACAATTGTAAACTGAAGGTATTTCTCTCGGCTAATAACACATTTCATGACATGGTCGGTTTTTTCCGGGATCTCAGATTTCCTGTCACATTAAGATCCTCGCGCACTAATTTCCGGACCAACAAGAGTGATTAATATAAGTGGTAATGACTAGTTTAATAACTGTTTTTAAATAAATAAAGTTTATATATTTATACAGGAATAGTTTTAAAGGATTTATCCCGATGGTATGAATGCCCTTTTAGTTACCTCAAATCAGAAATCGATTTTGCTTCATTTGCTCTACTGAAATGAAGTAATAAAAGGAGGCGTATGCACGTTTGTGGATATATAACAAGGTATATTTGAAGACAAAAGAGTCCTATGAACAGGAACAAATTGTGACGTCATCAATTCTTCCTTTTTTCAGCTCTTTCCTATGTTCGAAGAACATCCCCTTTCTTAATGTGTTAGTCAATCTAACAGTGTATTGAAGCGAGCATAGGAATCATAAACATAGTACGAGTTACTTCCCTTGACGAAGAAAATAGTAGTTCTACGCTTACCAGCACATGTGATGTATACTGGCCTTTTGATGGTAAATTATTTTCCAGCACTGCCTAAAATGCGGATTATTATCACGATCTGGTGTACTAGAAAGCAAATTCTTAATAAAACCGGAATCATTGAAACTTTCAATGAGGAAAAACATCCTACTAAAAATGTGCAGTCGATTATTTCTAGAAAATATAACCAAACTGCGACATTTTATGATTTAATTTAATATTTTTTCTTCATGATCTCAATATTCGTTTTCTTCACAGGTGGACGTTCTTGCGTTGAGGATAAATCAGATGAACAAGGGATGCTTGTAGTTTTTCCATATCAAGTAGAGTGATTGAGGGCATAGTCATTAATTCAGAATAAAAGCAGTTGGTCATATCGGAGGTTGTTGATGGAACGTATCAATAAACATAAACATTTTGATTTCATATTGGTCACGTGGTTTATAACTACACGTGTATTGTCATGTTTTACTTCCTCCTCAGTCAAGGAAAGGTTTAGATGAAATGTTAGAATACATTGGTGTTCATTGCATGTCGCTGTTGTGATATGCAACAACGACCCCCTGCTTGCAACATTTTATTTATATTCGGTCACATTTTGTCTTACTTGCAGGCAGATTAACACGTAACCATATAACTGCACTCTGAAACGGGAACGAAATATTGTTTCTAAATTAATTCACAATGAGAGGGATCGCAGTTCGGTAGTTTTACTCTAAGGTGTAAAAAGGGAGTGATGTGCTTCGCTGGGTGTGCTAACACTGGTTAGGAAAAATTCAATGAAATACACTGAACATTTATAAATTGCTCTTGGCATCCACAAATATATGTTTAATGGACTTGGAGGCACATACCTCTGTTCAGTCTGCTCGTGAACAATACAATACAATAAAATACAAAATACTACAATGTTATTGCATAACTAATTTGTTTAATTGCTACAGATGTTTCATGAACGTATTAAGTAATACAAGGATCAAATGTGTCAATCTTGTATTCAGCACTGGGCCGTGAAATCGATTCCAGTAAACGTTCAGGATTTGAATACATTGATGGACGGGTAAGAAATAATATTTTCCATTCTAAAATATATGAGATATCTGCTAGCTTCGATAAGATACCACTTCATGTCTGTCAGAGTAACATATGATTCATGGTACATCACAGATTTAAACTGTGGTTAATTACAGATGGATCGGTACAATAATTCTGTCATGTCCATTGACGCTGAAAACCTCGCACACAAATCTGGTTGGCGGAGTGGTAGTTGCCGCCATGTTGACGTTGAAGGTGACGATATATCCGGTTGTCGTTGAAGTCTCGTTGGCCGTATACATAGGACTCTTCCCCCAGATAAAGTCCCCCCAGTCGTCATTCTCTCGACAGCTGACCGAAGGTTTCGGAGGATCTGAACGTTCCACAAAGAGCTGCACAATAACCTGTAAAAACCGAAAAAACAGATCAATATGAAAATGTTTCATACCAAAAAATTAAGGTATACAAGTAAATGTTATAGAAAACGGTATGATCGGTTTAATCCTGTCTTGAATGTTTAGGATTTTGTTAACAGTTCAAGAAATGGCTCGTGAGATATATCATGTTTCTAGTTCCCCGAGACCCTGATGTTTACTAATTAGGTTATAAAACTACTATATTTCTGTGGATATACTTATTAAATGTAAATGCCATGCATGTATATATTTATTTTCCCAATAAAAGACCCTGAAAATAATATCCAAATATGTCTTAATTTATCTCCTTTCAGAAAATATAACAAAGCAAAAATGACAAATATCTATATACATTCACATTCTCATAACAATATCCACAAATTTTATTTTTAAGGATTTTCAAAATATTTTTCTCAACGTGTATCAATCCTACGAACAGCGTGCCAATTTTATAAGCATCGTGTATAGTATACAGTTGTGTGACCGCACTACGAACTAAAAATAGCGTGCATACATGTAGTACACACGCCACCCGCACATCGTGCACACATGGTGCGCACACCGAGAGCACATCATGCGAACACCGTACGTCGTGTAACGTTGTGCTATCCCACAACTGTTACTAAAGCTCGTATCATTTTCAAACAAATATCTAAATCAATTAATGATTTTCGTGATAACTTCCAGCAAAGTAGACTTACATTTTCTTCCAATCCTCGGTAAACCTCATATTTGAGGAATCTTGGCGGAACAACAATTTTCGTCGGTAACGATAATCTGCGTTCTCTTCCATCTGAAGTTGCTGCACATACGAAACTGATGTTTGCTACTTCCGGTACCGTCGGTTTGACCACGAGCATAACGGTTGTGATGTATTTCCTTTTCATCACAACCGACGAATACCCTGTAGTAGTCTCGTGACCGTCTCGCTTCAATTTAAGAATGGCCATTCTTGGTTTTGGATTGCCCATCGCCGAACAGTGTAACAAGCTACTATCTCCAACACCAAGTTTGAATTCTCTTGGAAACAAATCTCTGAGGAAAACCATAGACCCCTCGGGTAATGTAGCAACATCATGTCTCAATGTTTCCGGGTCGTGCATGACGTACTTCACACTTCTGAACACGTCATCAAACCTTGGGATGGTAACAATGTAAGAGAAGATCCCGCCGTTATCATAAACCATCTCAAGAATGTCGAACGTAAACTTGTACGTACCTCGCTCTTTTGAACCATTCGTTATGTTGAGTATCTTTCCTGGTCCCTGTGGTACCCCGTCCGAACCCAACCAACTTCTGGCAGTTACCGACTTGTAAGGAAACTGACTTCCGTTGAGTCCGAAAAAATTCACGGACGGGGTAATTTCTCTGTTTCGAAGTACTTCCGATCGCAATTCAAAGCTACCGGATGTAACATTAGTTTGTGGATGAAGCGGTCCGACTCTGTACGTCAGTGGATAATCATATACACGAACAAAACTGTGTTTAACGCTGTTAAACCGGAAAATTATGCCATCGATTTTATTTTCGATTTCGAGGGAGATTTCTTTTTGTCCGTCCCGGATAGCGGAGGACTGAATACCACGGAGTTCCAAAGTGTGTATATTTTCTCCTGAGAAATCGACACGGGTAAACAAATCATCATCTAGAAGACATAAATGCATGTACATAAATACATTTCTTCTATACACGTGTCATTGCATATGTGACGTGTAACCTTAGATCACGTTTTAGATTTTAGAAAGGGGCAGGTCAAAATAGTCTCACTTAGATATAAAATGTGGTTGAAATATGAAAAATACCATTTTGGTAAATAGGAATGCTTTTCACAAGCTAATAAAAAATGTGTAGACATATTCAAAAGATCCAAGTTACCCTAAATTATTTAAATCCTGAAGTTTCATATAAAAATCGTGATCGATAACTTTCATTTAGGGGAAAAGCCGCTAAATCAAAAATATATTAAACTGAAAATAAATAACGTGTCTACAAACTATATTAATGTATTCTAGCCTTTTGATATGGTCCTATTATTAGCACGATCCAACCGGAGAAAGACCATTTCTTATAGCAAATTATAAAATTATTATATTTTTCATTACATATCTTTGTTTCAAGATAACTGAGTACTATGATGATATCTTAGGATGAGATAAAACACAACGTAAAATAAAAAATGATTATTACCTAGAATAGGAATGTGGTTGTCGTACCAAATATGTGAAAATGGACCGTCGGTTTCTATGTCAACAGTGTGGACGATATAGGACGCGTTCATCTGAACAGAGCCTCGTTTCAATATAAATGAAAAATCTTTCCAGACTGGATTATCTGTATGCTGTAAAATTGAAAACAAATTAAATTAATTTTTAAGAAGACAGTACAGATTCGGAAATCTGTATTAGCGAAACCAGGTTTTAGGGTTTGCTGTATTAACGTATTTGATGCACGAGTAGAGTGTTCCTGCATGCTCTCTGTGTTACAATTTTATATTTCCAAGAAGAGTTAAAATTTGTTCGGCATGACTTAGTGATGGAGTTTCTTGCCTATTGAAAAAAGCAAACAAAAAAGAAAGAGAGGATAAATAAGTATTGTAATTCGCTTTTAACAAAATATCTTGGCCCCACTTCGAAGCAGGGAGCATTATCACTGCGCCATTGTTCGTTATAATTGTTTTAAAACTTTTTCTGCAACATTACTCGGAATGAATTTATCTCCCTAAAATGACTCGCAATCTAAATTAGACTAAATCTAAGTTACGGGTAACACGCGCGTACGGCATCAAATATAATCGCGATAAAGAGTTCCACTTTTTTTATTTTTTTATTTTGACTCGTTTTCTCTCTTCGATAGAGACAAAAGCAAAAAATGATCCCTGGTTAACAACATTGGTTATACAAATGTATTTAGGTTTTGCAGTGAATAGGGCGCGAGCTAAGTCTCTGTATATGTGTAGTCTTCGTTTGCTGTTTTGTTTTCAAATACATACATGTTAAACAACCTCGATTCTGTAATTTCATGGCGAATATTGATGTATATTGACAACATCTTCAAAAAAAAGACAAAATATTTAATGATTTTGACAATGGTAATTGAAATGATATATTTTAACTTAATGGCACGGTACATTAAGCCTTAACAATGTAACATTTTAAGGAATATATACAGTAGTAAAATGTTGTTACACTCTTCTTCAGAATGAGCATATCTGGTGTTTGTGGTTTCCGTAGAAATGGTGAATTATTTCAATATTCGTGAATTCGTTTTTTTTCTAGAAACCTACATTTGTTTCGTCGTCCTGTGCTGTACCCAATGAAAGAATAACCTTTAGATCAGCCGCTATCTGCGTTACCTCCCCTTCAATGTCAGTGATAGTGTCTTGTAGTGCGGTCAGCTGTTGCTGAAAAGACTCGATCTGAAAAACAAAAGACGTTTTCCCCGATATGGCGGAATTATGTGGACATTGTTCCACTCATAAATTTGTCCAAGTTTTTCGAATATCTGCATGAAATTAGTTTGTATTATAACATTTGAAATTTCTAAATTCTTCGTATGATAATATCCGATCATCTTCACAATGTACTTCTGTCTACAGTTTATTTTTTTTACTGTTCAGGGTCTTTTTGGTATATTAAGTTTTGTTGGTGTCCCTTATCATTGTAGGCCCGATTATCTGATATAACTTCACCGTTGTATGGTGTTATACTAACTAAGAATGGGCGGATTGGTGGAGTGGTTAACACTCCGGCCTTCCACGCAGGCGGCCGGGGTTCGATCCCGAAGTCGTCGTACGCATGGGATATTCAGAGAAAGTGTTTTCTCCTGCCCACACCACTCCAACAACCCAGGTGGAGTATACAATGGTCTGGGGTTGGTGTTGCGGTATCTGTGCTGTAGCATTCAAGTGAGGTGGCACTATAAATGATGCCGTTGGAAGCACGGTCCCAATACAAACAGAATACAATACATCTCCTGCACACACGCAGGCATACACACATATGGAGATATTAGCAATGTGGCATATGACTAGTAGTTAGCGCCTGATAAGGCAGCCCATGCGAATTCCTCAAAATTGTATAGATTGATGTTTATGCTAATTATATTGATTGTCTATGTACTGTTAAGCGCTTTAGAGTGGCTTATGTTAGCTAGATAGGGCGTTGTATCAAATGTTGTATGCTAACTAACTAACGATCCCGGACAGGTGTAAGGTCCGACTGCTGTAGTCACAGTAAACTCAGTACAGTAAGGTATGAACTCATTCTCGGTTTTATTCTTAATTAGCATTTGTGATTCATATATATTTATATTTTTATCGTCACATGGACATTTAAAACTATTTATCGCTATCTATATAACTATAAGTTCAAGTTCTTTTCAAGTTCTTTATTAACTTTGAGTCTTGCGACTCATCAGTGTAACACATATACATGATATATATATATATATATATATATATATATACTTTCTCATAACATTGACAAATATCGAAAATACTAATAAATACACAGACGAGACAAAACACTCGGAGAGCATAACTACTTATGTTAATAAAGCTCTTCTTGAATTTGCAGCTTTAATGTATTTGGCCAATTTTGCTAATTCATTTGTGTTTTGTCCGTTAAATAACTGAATTAATTTAAACATGCTCGGTTTTTTACAATAGTACTTTTTTAAAAATTTCTCACGTAAATCAGAATAACAGGGGCATTTAAGAATAAAATGAAATTCATCTTCGACATCATCTATATCACAAGCGGTACAGATTCTTAAAAGTCGCGGAATATTTTGATAACGACCTTTCTCTACATTTAAATTATGGGCTGAAAGCCGAATTTTTGTTATTTCTTTTAAGTAACCTTTCATAAACGATTTTCTTAAATAACCCTGTATACCAACTTCTTTGTTAAGACATGTATAAAAAAATCCTTTTGATGATGTTCTAATTTGTTCTATACAATCTTGTCTATAAATATCTAAAAGTCTTTCTTTAATTATAATCAAACAGCTATTATCAATGTTATCTGTTTGCCATATGTAACCTAGACCTATTCTATATAATTCATTCTTGATATTAATTACCCATTTGTCGTTACGCACTAACATGTCTTCATAACATGATTTTAAAATGCAATTATCGGTATTTATAATCTTTATCCAATACTTAAAAATTCTGAATTTCCTCAGCAGTGATAATGGATATCTACCAAGCTCTAAATAAACCATAGCATTACAAGTATTTTTACGCACACCGAGTAATTTTTTACAAAACATAATATGTATTTTTTCAACATCCGGGGCTTTATGAAAACCCCATATTTCTGAACCGTAACACAAAATACTGTTTACATATGTATCAAATACTGATAGTTGGGTTTCAATATTAAAATAATTATTACGACATACATTCATAACTGAAAATAAAGCTTTCCTTCCTTGATCTGCTATTTTTTGCTGTGTTTTTCTGAAAGTGCCGTTGTAATTTAACAACATACCTAGATAATTAAATTCATTTACGATTTCCAAAGGACATCCGTTATATGTCCAATTTCCATTGTTTCTTAAAATACCACCATTTCTAAAAACCAGCACTTTTGTTTTATCTGTATTGACCGTTAGATCCCACTTTTTTGTAAATGCTTCTAAAGAATTTAACATGTCTTGCAAGCCTTCTGGTGTTTCCGAAAAAATTACCATGTCATCTGCGTACATCAGCAGGAACAGATTTAAAGTTTGAATTTCTATCGATGGACAGTTGTCAATTAAAAATTGCATCTCACAGTCATTTACATATAATGAAAACAATAATGGAGACAAAATTTCCCCTTGAAACAATCCGTTTACACAATTGAAGAAGTCAGATAATGAACCATTATACTTAACACAACATTTTACGTTATTATACAAAGACCTTATTAACACTAATAACTTTCCATCAATTCCTTCCCTTATTAATTTGAACCACATATTTTGTCGATTAATAAAATCAAATGCTTTTGTATAATCAATAAAACAACAATACAATCGTTTCTTATGTTTAAGACTCCGATTAATTATGGCCTGTAATGCAAATATAGCGTCTATAGTTGAAAGATTTTTTCTAAATCCAAATTGAGCGTCAGTTATCTTACTGTATTTCTTATCAAATGACATCAGTCTATTATTAATGATTGACGTAAAAAGTTTTCCCAAACAGCTAACTAGAGTAATACCTCTGTAATTATTAGTATTATTTGCATCTCCCTTCTTAAAGACAGGCACAATATTACCTTTAGACCATGTTTCCGGAAAGTGCCCGGATGTGAGTATATTGTTGAATAGAATAACTAAGCATGGCAATAAAACAGTCTTAAATTTAATCATGTATTCGTTTAAAATGCCATCAGGACCACATGCCTTATTTGTATTTAATTTCTTTATTGCACACAATATCTCAGACTCTGTTATATTAACGTCTAACTCTTCAAATGTAACATTTGGACCGTTAGTGTCATGTTCAAGCAAAAAATCGTTAACGTCATCGTTATTGGTTGGGCTGGATATAGCTAACTTTTGGAAATGATCGAAAAAATCGGTTGCATTCAGTTCACTTTTTACATTCTTTTTTCGATTTTTAAAGTGTTTATAGAATGCCCTAGGATTATGTTTTCTCATATAGTTTAACATGTTACCTTGATGGCATTTGTATTCTTTTTTAAGTTTATATTCCAACTTTTTATACATTTTTTTCTTATTAGTAAGACTAATACGATTTTCATCGTTTTTACAATTATTAAACGTGTAAAGGGCGTTTTTATACTCTCTATATAATCGTTTACAATGTACGTTAAACCATGGTTTATCATCAACTCTGTCTGAGTTTCTCACATTATTACGTATAACATTATTACTACTAGTACAAAAAGGTAAAATAAGATTATTAAAGCCCCCAAACTGGTGATTTTTAACATTTAATTGGCAAAATATGACAGTTCATAGTTCAGTACATAAAGTACAGTGTAACAGGATTTCTGACTGCCGTAAGAAATAGTAAAAGCGTTTTATTCTTTAAGTGAAAAAAACACTACCTTGCGTGAACATTCTACATTCTTAAGAGTGTGTAATTGATCGGTGTTTATCAGAAGGTTTATTTGGAAAATTAGTCCACCATTAAAAATACCCAATCCTGTGCGCTGTTCTTTGATAATAATATATATTTTAAAGGCTAGGAATCCACATTCTAAGAACCGCTAATTAAACAGTCAGCAGCTGGTTCATTTTGAGTTCTGATGTGTATAAAGAAGAGGAAATATTGTAATGATTTTCAAATAGATGTTTTGCAGAAAACTCATTTGCTATTTAATTTGTGACTAATACATGTACTTTCACCGCCACATCATTGCTACTTGTGTGCTTGGGTGCTTCTTATATATTTTCCATTAAGGTGTCGTTTGCCTTTTGCACTTTCAACATATATCTAAACAATTATGTTAATTTTTTGAAGATTATTGCACAATATCTGTTCAGAATTACCGCCTAACTGGACGAAGTTCATGACCGGAAATATAACAAGAATCATTATACATGTAAAATAGAAATCTATAGATAAAAATGTTTAGGATTTCAAAATCATGCTACGCATTTCGCAGTTAAGGTAGAAATATATAGCTACCACTTCGTAAATAAATACCTTGTTCCTATCTAATGATGTTTCGGATTCCAAAATTGCCAATTGACCTCTGACCTCTCCGTATTTGTTCCATAATAAGTCAAGCTGAAAATTAATGTTTATACCACATTACATAAGCTGACCTTTCCAATCTTACTTTCCATCATACTTGACGACAGGGAAATTGTACGGTCGCCTTTATCGTGTTCGTTAAAAAGATATATTTATGATCGAGGATCTAGTGAGATTGTGTAAATTTTCGATAACCATAAAATTGTTGCACACATGCTTTCATTGTTGGTATAAGCCACTTAGTTGGGACAATTTTCAGGTGCAAGTTTAGTGAGCTTCATACAGGGGCGTATCAGAGCTTGTGTTAAAATATCACTGATTTATGTGAACGATTTACGAATCATTATTATTATTATTATGAGAAGTTCGTTTTACACAACCAAGAATTTCTATATGACGTTTCGATATCACTGTCACCTTCATCAGACAAATTACCAGTAAAGCGTATGCACACAAAGGTGTAAAATGTGTAAGAAATGTCCACAAAATCGAATCGATTCGGCTACGCTGTAAGCGTTTGTACAATAGTTGTTAAGTTAAGTGGTTTCGGATATACCCTCTATGTACGGGTGACCTTTGGGTATTTTCTTATCCCTGATTGGCCTTTTCTTGTTCTTCTCCTTACTTTAACACTGCCTTTTTACCCGTTTTAGGGCCCATTTCGGATAAGCACATGTTCTCATTGCCCTGGCGATGTGATTCTGCTCTTGTGTTTTGTCCTGTTGATATGTGACTATTGTATCACATTTGTTTGGGTCTCAAAGACTCTTGCACATCTATGACCAAGTGTGAAACAAAGCGATGCCGAATTGAGTCATTCGGTACATATATAACAACTACTGTACAAACGCTTACAGCGTAGCCGAATCGACTCGATTTTGTGATATAACCCGTACACATTTTACACCTTTGTCTGATGAAGGTGACAGTGTACATATCGTACTAGTCATCGAAACGTCACATAGAAAATCTTATTGGTTGTGTAAAAACTTCTCATAATCCATACTTACCAACCTGCAGAAAATGTTTGGAAAAAAAGATTTACGAATCAATATGACTAACTGGTTTGACAACCTCGGAATTTCTTTTTCGTATATTCTTTAATATTCGTGTTTCTATGCCGCCGCTGATTTCATCTTTATGCAACTTCACAATATTTTAAAGAATTTCAAGATTTCATCTCGGAATTTGGCGCGGAACAATTCTTTTGTGTCTTACACAAAAGCTTAAAGAATATAAAATAATCTAGAGGCAATCCGATAGGTATAAAACGTCATCTTTGAATCTTGAACAAATACTTACTTCTGAGGCTAATGAAGCCTTCCTTGTGAACACCACTTGCACATAAGAAAGATAAGTCGCCATGGAGATCAGATGAAGTATGGCAGCCATCATTATTTGGACATGTATGAAACTGTTTTCGTATGAATAAAATGCCAGCTGTTTAGCCTCGTTTTACGGTGCTGATATAAATCGGTCACAAATAAAATTGTAGCTCGTGACATTTAGCAATAATCATGATGGGGACATTTGCAATTATTATGTGTACTCATCCCATCGAAATAATTTCAACTCAATACTACGAAACCCATGAGGTGACATGTAGAATTTCAGTTTTGACGGCGAGGTAATATGTAACCGCATCTCTTTTGTTATCACATTTCAAATACAAATGTACAATACTTTTGTGAACTTCTCTCTTTTGACGGGAAACAAGTATGATCATATGACCTGATCTTAAACTGTGAATAAAACGTGTATCCTGCAATGCAAAAATAATAATAATGTTTTTCGATTTCTTTAGAAGTAATTGCATTCAATAATATATCAAACGTGCCAAATTAGCCCATGATTAAGTACGTATCTATAAATGAGACAGTTCCAACTTGTTTTTAAGAACCAACTAAGTGTCGGACAGAGTACCGTATTTATGTGTTCTATTTGTACATATGTATCATTGGATGTATGTCCTCCAAAATCGTCTTATAGTGCATTTGTTTTCATGTGACCGCTCTTGATCCGATTCCAGAGTTGTCATAGTCTATTCTAATGATTACATGTTTGCAGTTCTGGTATAGTTAACCATAATCCGAACCTTAAATCATCCATCAATCTCAGGCAAAATACGAACAAATGTAAGTTTTATATGGAGATATATGAAAAAAGGACAGAAGAATAAGACCAGCTGTTCCGGAAGGATAAGCGTCTACTGATTCATCGACGACACCCACCATGTAAATTTCGGTGAAATCCATGCAACGCCACGTCCTTATTGACAACAACATTTCAAAATTAAGTTCGGAAGTTACATCATGTGAGTAACCGTATATGCATACATATAACTAATGTATGCAAACCCTATCCCGCTTTGTTTTTCGTCCGTCTGCAAACCATCTTTGTATTGTTTATGCTGACATATTTCATGTCGACGAAAAAAGGTAACTTCAAATGTACCCCAAACACAGAATCTTCTGATGTAGGAACTTATTACTACCGCAGATGGTTTGGTATGCAGATTTGTTTTGGTTCTTTTTCTTTCGTTGTCATTGTTTTTATAGTCTGGCCTCATCGTTTTTCAATATGTTAAATCGCGATGATATGTATCAGATGTCTGTGTCCTTTCAAGATATGAACATAAAGGTCTGTCTGAAAATAACGAGTCGGCGTGGCCTTTAAAATATTATATATATAACATTATTGTATAACTCACTGATACCACGTACGAAGTTAACCCTATGTAACGAATCTAATGGCGGTTCGTAAGGATACGGTTAGTTTTTATAGTTTGAAACGGTGGACAGATCAGGTCGGTGATGTTATTTTTATTAGGGAAAAAGACTGCATACAATCTTAAACAGTTCCCTAATGTCAATTTCTTCTTCTGTATGGGATACTGGATCCCTATGGATTCGATCTTGTCTTGTCACGTGACTGAGTATAATTAAACGATATCATTGTTTACATTTGGGTTTGCGGATCCGGTGCTCTTCTGTGCTGCAACACTACACTACTTTAAAATAAGGATCTTGAAATGTATAAAATGCGTTATGCTAAAATCGTTATTATCTATGATAATTGAGTAAGTGTGTTATGTTTGGCTTCATTTGTCAATCAGGGTCCGACATAATTGAATATATACTATTGGATATCAGACTAAGTTTTCTTTTAATCTGTACACAACTTTTTATACAAAACACTGCATATTGCCATCGTATCATGATATAAGCGGTTACTTAATAGTTACTTCACTTTCAATGGGGAAGTTGTGAAAATGTACAGCCTGTTATTTACTAATATCAAATAAACTAGCGTAAACTTTGGTGTTCGGGTACTTTTGGGAATAGTGACGATAAGTTATGAACTGTACGATATCTTTGTGAATATTTACTAACACTCGGGACAGTTTGGCATCTCAAAGCACTTACATGTATTTTGTTAATGAAAATCCTGTATTATCAAATAGTTTACGATTGGAACACAATGTAAAATGATATAACTGTAAATACAATATTTTATATTGACGTCACAATGACATGAGAACTCTATTTCTTGTAAAATAAGTCAAGTTTTCATATTTTAACCACGTAACATAAACCGTTGATCAAAATCACTCCCAATATTACCAATACGTTGAAATATCTCTGTAAGTCCCCCCAAAAACAAAAAACAAAAACAAAAACAAAAGTTCTGTCATTAAGAATTTAAGGTTGACTCATGGCCTATGCAAAATTAAATATTACGCAAGCCCACGCTCCGAGTTTTTCACCGCTGTTTAAACTAGTGTATCACATTTTAAATGATAACTTAAATCCTAAAATCGCATTTTATATTAAAGTAAACTTCCCCGAAGACGCCTTCGGTTAAGATTTGAGGATTATATAGTCACGATCTTGTCACTTCGTACATGATTGAAATTCTGTTTTAAATCCTTTTTATACCCGATATACTTGTTTTATACGACATTAAATATTGTTAAGCTAGTTGTGTGTTTCATCTGTAATTTGAAACCTGACAGAAGACTTAAAATGTATTGCTGATTAATATGTTTTGTGAGCCGCTTCGAGACGACCTACGAACCAAGTTGTGATAAAGCGGTATATAAGAACCTCGAATTCTATTATTATTGTTGATACTTTCTCCATTAAAAATGTTCTATGAGGTTTGATTGTCTTAAACATTGCATTTTACTCAAAATCTGCTACTGTATTATCTGAGCATGAAATTATTTGGAAATTTTTAACTTGCTTAAACACTTTTTACGTGTAGACTAAACAATATATATATATAAATATCATCAATGAAAGAGACTTCATACGGTATTCTTTTATTAATTCATAAGCTTATCAAAAGGTTCAAGCCTAATATGACATCAGTTTTGATAAAATACAGGATAACTTTAGTCATATTTGAATAGTAACAGGTAGGAAATTTGAAATTTGTGTCTTGACTGCAAAATTTGATAACAAAATATAGAACTTATTTTAATGAAACATTATGACAATTGTGGTGACTCATATTTTGTAAGCAAAATATGTTAACAACTGGTGGCAATATTGATTGACACCACATGCACATGTTGTCTACTATAACCTCATTTTCAATTTTTTGTCGAACCTTTTGTTTGAGTTAATTTAGAAATAAGACGGCTTGTACCATTTCATTTAAGTTCATACAGGTCAGATCGTTGATGGCGTCAACTTTGTTGAATGAAAAAAACAATATACCAGCATGTGATAATAAAATATAACTAAATATATACCACTTAATATATAAAATAAATATCATGATTATTAATTCATTGATATAGTTGATTAATTTGTTTACAATCCTGTTTATAATAATAGGACTATAACTCTAAACAGAAAACACTTAAATGCTTAAAGATGTTTTTTTATTTTTTATCTCAATGGTTTATTGTCTGAACTAATGCACCCGTTGTCAGTATAATGTGAACAGGCGGAATGGTGTGCTTGGGACCTTCGGCACGCATTTCAGTGAGATAGCACTATAAAGTCGGCTTCAGATCCGCGCTATCACAAGGAGGCAAGAACACCAACATGGCCTGTCTCCTGCATACACACACGCCAGCACGCATACACTACACACATGGAGGCACGTCCTAATATGCCCTTAGCTGTTAATAGGACGTTAAACAAAATTAAACCAAACCTAATTTACTGTCTGTATCACGATATAAAAATGATATCAGGGATGTCACAAAACCTGACAAATACCCGTGACGTCTTTAATCATATATGTGGAAGCTGAAACGCTAATTGACGTTTTTGCAGGTTGATAAAAGTTGTTGTAAATGTTTATGGTGTCATTATGGTCCTATTTGGAAATGTTTCTTTTGTTTGCGCTAACTGGAGATCGATGTTATTGTTATACTGTTCTGTGTGCTTTTGTGGTTTCGATGTTACTAACCAGGTTTTCCCTTGGATGACTTGACAATACACGGAGTTCACATAGACTTACTTTAGCTTCACCGATTACGAGTTCGAATTACAGTTTGGTTTACATGAGTAATATCAATTAATATAGAAAAATCAGAATGAAAAAAACGGATCTAGTTGGTAAAAGAAACTTTATACAATTTCACTACGTACCTGTAAACGAATAGTTCAACACAAATAAATATCATCCAGTCAAAAACCACATTCCTAAATTATGGATATCGATCCATATGCTTAAACCCTGACAACCTCAACGCCAAATTAACACAAATAACTCATCTCGTATATTTTCAAAAATATTAAAATTCAGAATTAAACCTGCATGTACTGGGATTAATAATGCTCGCGCATAGACAGCAGATACAAAAATATTTGTAAATTTTCAGATATTTTCTCAAAAATAATACTTTGAATATCTGTGTTAACGACTCGTTGAGCGAGTCTGGTTTTGAAACATCTCATCGAAGCTTTTTGAAAATTATAACCATAGATATATAGTGTTACGTTACGCTTGAATTGCCATTACACGGTTTATCAAGTTCAGTCTCCAGGATAAAAAGTTCGTAACCTTGACAGAGATATCGGACAATGTACGTAAACACTATATTCCAGCTTTCGCGCACTTCCGGTATAAATTCCTCTCCGATCGCTGTCTCCCAGACGCTCATCAACACTTTTATATACACAGCGAAATGTTCAATGTCAAAACCGTCGAAGGTGGCGTGTTTCGCACCAAGCATCAGCAGAGTATGTTGAATTTCAGTCTTTGGCTTCTCCAAACTATCCACGACCGAATCCACTACCTGCATGAACTTTGTCACGTGATCTATGAATATTTTCGACTGTCTCAAGTTGTTTTCATCTATATACCTGTAATGTATAAAATGAAATACATGGCAATAAAATGTTCGATAAAGACATATGATTATCCCATTCGTCAAAACAAACCGAACTGAAGACTCATACAAATGCTCAGTATCATTGTTTATCACCCAAACTAATTAACATGTTGTCAGTACCGGGTTCGGCATTGTATTTCAGTGAGGTAGCACTTTGAATTCGGCATCAGATCCGTGCTATCGCAAGGAGGAAAATACACTGATATACCGTTGCCAACATACATACACACTTGCACGCATACACTACACACATGGAGGCACGTCCTTAAATGCCCCAGCTGTAAGAGGGACGCTAAAGGAGTCCTTTATAAATGTAAATAGAATGATATCTGTCCTTTAAGAGGGACGAACGCACCCTGTTTTTAAGAAAGATATCAAGTCTGGCAATATCAGTGTATAACACACTGATTGTACATCCCTTTTCCTGTCAGGGCTGATGTGTAATTATCAATGAACCCTAAGTCCCTAGGGGGTTGGGGCATTTTTTCATTCCTTCTGTTACGTGTAGCGATCAAAGAATGTTCCGAAGGTCCCGGAGATCCTAAACAGTTTCACGGTTTCGTTCCAGTTCTCCAAATGGTCCCTATCAGATATCGCATAAATAATGAAAAAAAACAATAATACCTTCCCTAACAGACTTCTTTTGGGTAAGAACTGCATCATTACACGCAATTAAAAAACCGTGGTTAAATGAAGCCTGACTGTCAAATGAGGACAGGTGCTAACACTTACTTTGAACAACACACTTATATGGGTCAAGAATGTTTATTTATTCTTTTATGTCACAACTCTTAGATCATAAGGTTTGATTTGTTTTTCTGAGGTTGTTGATTCACAATCCCGATATGAATAAATTCTGTTTGTGTTTTATAACTCGGTATGTTTGTTTTTCACAACTCTGGGGTTTACTTTTGTTTCACAACTCTTGTTCAATAGATTATTCGCGTTTAACAACACGGGAAATGTTTGATTTGTGCTTCTGAAACGCAAACAATTAGGTTCGCTTATTTTTTACAAATTTGAGTCTTAGTTTTTACTGGTTTTCAAAACTCACGGGGTCCTACGTTTTTTACTTGCGTTTTATATCAATGAGGTAAATTGTATTACAAAATTCTTGAAGTTTTTGGTTTTGTTTGAGTATTAAATTTCACATGAGCATTCCTTCTTGATATAGATTACAGCACATGCAGGTGATGACACGTATGTTTCGTTTCAATATTCAGTTCATGTTTTACTATCCTGTCTTTTCATCGATTGACCACTAGATCGTCAAATTTTCTGTTGCATTTAAAAATCCCACTCCACAGTTAATATATACTGGCTATCCTAAGCAAATAAAACCAGAAAATAATTAGGAAATCTTCCAGGAACTGAAATATACGAAGGCAACGCTCGGGGTCTTAAGAACAATCCAGTTGATAATACTACATTTGTTTCAATCTGTCAGCAGTTTCCAACTTGGCGAAGTGCTGATATGTCTGCATAATGATTTCGGCAAATCCTATCGAATGCATGATACATGCAGACGATACAATCTTGAGTATGAGGAGCATCAAATTTGAAGTTAAATGGGGATTCTTGGTGTCTCAAGGGGAAGAATCAATCTAAATTATGTCGTAGGTTAAATCTGGAAAGTGAGAGGATATTGAAGTCTGACGTGTAAGAGGAGGGGGAGTCTGGAATGTCGAGCGGTGAGTGTTTGAATTGTAAAGGCTTGGATGTATATATGGTATGGGTGTAAAGGATTGGATATTTATATGGTATGGGTGTAAATGCTTGGATATTTTTATGGTAGGGGTGTAAAGGATTAGATATTTATATAGTATGGGTGTAAAGGATTGGATATTTATATGGTATGGGTGTAAAGGCTTGGATATTTATATGGTATGGGTGTAATGGATTGGATATTTATATGGTATGGGTGTAAAAGATTGGATATTTATATTGTATGGGTGTAAAGGCTTGGATATTTATAAGGTATGGGTGTAAAGGATTAGATATTTACACCCATACCATATAAATATCTAATCCTTCACACCCATACCATATAAATATCAAATCCTTTACACCCGTACCATGTAAAGGATTGGATATTTATGTGGTATGGGTGTAAAGGATTAGATATTTATATGGTATGGGTGTAAAGGATTGGATATTTACATGGTACGGGTGTAAAGGATTGGATATTTATATGGTATGGGTGTAAAGGATTAGATATTTATATGGTATGGATGTAAAGGATATGTGTCTGAAGTGCAGAGACTTTAAAGGCATATACGTTTATGGTCACCATCATGGTCAATTAATTTCCTTTTCAATATGAATGTCGACGTTTTAATGAAGCTTGTTAATGGTGTTTGTGCTTTCGTTGTCACTGACCCGGCCCTTGGATTTGACCTAGATATACATTGCGCGTGTTGGCAATCAAGGCGCAGACGCTTACCCAGAACACCTGATCCTATACTCCTTAGTTTTTTTTAAACTTTAAGTGTGATTTCGGTTTTTACGAGAAACAAATTAGCTTGTTTTTTCTTGCAAGTCACCATGGTATAATTTTCCTTGAGATTTTCCTTTATATGCTATAGAAAAAAGCACAGGTGAAGGGTTATGCAATATTGATTCTTTTCTTGTCAGATTTTTAATCATTTTGACAGTTTTTTACTCTCTATTATAGTATGCCTGCTCCACAAAGTATTCTAGTCCTTGCATAATGTTGTATTCTTTTATCGTGTTTCTAATTTTCTACCGGGGTTTTTCTCAAGTTTATTGATGTATCTATTACGTATAGAAAGAAACGTTTCGTGAACCATTTTTACCTAGCAACCTTTCAATCAAACCCCTTCAGTGATTTCTTCTTATCAATTAATAATGAAAATAATAAATAATTCAGTAAGTTGAAACTCCCATCCTTATTGGCTTTGTAAAGGTTCTGAGTAGTCAGTATGTCTACATGTCCCTGTACTGTCATTATATACGGCCGAACACGACACAGTGTTGACCCGCAGGTACAGGTGTCCGACTGCCCATGGAAATTACTTCTTATGATATCAAACTCTCATTCTTGGCATATTAGGTAAGGCAACACTCCAGTTTCAATATCGTATCTATCATAGCACAGATGGAGGGGTGAGCCCAGCGCAAAATTGTCTATATTGAAATCACTATACGTTGCTATAGTATTCGATGCAGCTCTAAATGAGAAGGGCACTACGCACCCTGAAGGATATTCAGTTCACTACACGACTATTTGTCTTGAATGCGCCACAGGGAGTAATTACATTTTTTTTACCTGTGATTGAGCCGGATTGGTATTTTTTAATCAGGGGCTAACAACATAAACACAAACGAGGTGCATTCGAAGGTTTTGATGTCACAGAATATTTGCCCGGGGATGACTGGTAATTGGTATGTTTTTTTCTCTCATCTTATTTGTTGGAAAAATATTAGATTTGATCTTAGTATTCTGTCTAGGACCTCAAATGATTATGATCTCTTCACTCTAAAGCTATGGTTGAAGACATGAACGTAAGAAAGCAGTCCTTGCAATAAAAATAAGGAAAACAAGGCTCGGTTAATAGATTGCATCGTTTATATAGTATCGTGAATATCTAAGCATCAATTCAATCATTTAATGACAAAATATTACATTTTCCTTGCGCGCAGCTGATTTGCTTTACAGCTGATGAATACACCAACGTAAACAATTTGGCGAAAAATTTCACAAAAAAAACCCATTACATTGTAGGACGAAATAAAAAAAAAGAGTTTATTATAGCATGTAGAATATTCCTGCCTGAGGACCAATATTATAAAATTCACCATGAAACCTCAGAGGTATCACACAGTTCGTGTAGCGGTCAACTTTATGATTAATCCCTAAAATACATACATGTACCTTAGGAGATATCGGAGACTAATAAAAATACCTATAATGATTTAGAAAAAAAAAATCGTATAATTAATAACGATGCACTATATCATTGTATTTTTCTGAAATATTTTCTTCTATGAAATCGTCGAATTATTTAAAGATATCATATAAATTCAATTAGAGCTATCTTATCCGTTTTTGCAACCCCTCTTTGGGTATTAAATGTTAAACTGACTTGTAAAAGGGTTCTAATTGTCTGCCTTGAAGTCATTCATTTAACGGGATAAACACTTCTATTTCTAATGTGTCTTTTTTACGGCAATGCGATTTCGTCTACCTTATACATTTTTGTGTAACTGTCACACCTTGTTATTTGGGTTCGTCTATTAAGTGATAAATTTGTACTTTCTCCAAAACATCACACAACCATTCCCTGTTTTAGTAGAAAAAATTGAATATATTGTTAATATGTCTTCTCCGGATATGACGTAGTTATCACTGCGTAGATGTTGCCGATATTGTTACACACTTAGGCAAAAACAAAATTAAAATGGACCTTTTAACAAAGAAGACAACAAATGTCTACATTCATATAAGCTCGTAATCTTGTAGATGATCAATGAACAGGCTATTCCTAGATTACAGGTTATTCTTGTAAACGTTCAATAAAATTAACATATCTATAACAAAGGGTACTCAATATCTCCGAACTTCTACACCAGACTCAAAAGTTGCAATGATATTTTATAAATGCTTGATGCTTTAGCTGCTTTAACCTTTTCTGCTAGCTAAACATTTTGTTCACTGATCTAAGAGGAAATTCAATTCAGCACCGTTGTGAAAAAAATAAAAGATTTCTACTGTATTGTTTTCAAATAATAGTACTCTTATGATGTATATTTCATTATTCATTGTTTTTTGGTTGTTCTGTAAGATATGATACGTACTTTATGCTATTCGTATACTTGTACCTACTTCACCCCTTTCGGGCAATAGTAAAAGTGAGAACTATAACCTGCGCTGGTTAATAACGTGATATACCGACTTTCGGAACATGTACAGCTGTATTTTTCATTGTAACCGTTTGCAAAATATTCTATAAAAATAAAAACTTTTTTTTTTTAAAACAGCACGGCCCAAGCTTGTCGTAGAAAGACGAGTGCACTATCCACTGCACCACACGATTAACCTATTCTATCAAAGGTGTCTTGTATCACGTTGTTGAAAAGGCAAGTAAAAATGCTATGACGTCAATGCTTAAATATTACTTTCTGTGTTCAAGGTGTGGCTGAACATAGCATACTATCAATTAATGATTGGCGTGTCATGGAAGTTTGTCTCCTCGCTCCTTGATATAGAAATGCCTGTCAAAATGGGTGAAATCCCATGTCTAGGGTGTCATATACACTTCTGTTTCTGATTTGTGTTTTTGTGTTTATCGAATAAAAAGCGACTTTTAAGTATACAATATCAGATATATCTCAATCAGCTCAAAAACGACATGACCTAGTCACTAATCACTGGCTGATAGTCGACATTTTCAAGGAAGCTAGGAAAGCCGGATAAGTATATTCAATATATTCTATAAATGTCATGCGGTTGGTATACGTATTGTGCAGTGTTTTAGGTAAATAAGAATGAAACATTATACATAACGATATAGCTCTACAATAATGCTCCCTGTGTCACTGCAAGCAAAACGCTAGAGAACTACACTTAGTTTTTCCTACATACAGTTACCTCCCCTACATTTTTTTTAATTTGATTTAACTGTAGCTCCACTTGTCTGGCACTCGTCCGTTGACAGGTAGCTCAGTTAGTTACGAGTGACAGTACAATGTCGAGGTTGGAATGCTGGTCCGGTCTTGTTGTATTTTGAAATATTGTTTTTTTCAAACTCTCGCATTGTATGTTGTTTTCAAAAATGGTTTGCCAAAGCTATAATCATACCCAAATTTCGAATGAGTAGTTTAATTTTTGCAGTGGTGTGGGGATCTTGTAATACAGGAAGGTGATGATACATGAAGAGAAAATTGATAGCCGTTCATTCGGAAAAATCCGGGGAATTACAAAGAAAAATAAAACCTTAATTATAAGTAAAAATCAAGAGAACAAGGGAAAATGTAAACAAAAGAATCCTTTTATATGGAGTCACTGACAAGCAACAAAATACACTATGACTACAAACTCCACAACCACACATTACAGTAGAATCCAGAAAACAACCTACGATGGGACAAACATATTAACAACATCACAGCCAATGCCATTAAGTCCCTAGGTTTCTAAACCGCACCTTAAAACTAAACTCACCACATATAAAAGAACACGCATACAAAGCATTAGTCAGACCAAACTTTAATACTGCTCTTCCATTTTGGACCACAAAACACAAACCAAATTAAACAAATAGAAAAAACACAACGAAGAGCGGCACACTACGTAAACAACAGATACCACAACACTAGCTCAGTAACAGACATGATCCACAAACTACAATGGCCAACACTACAAACACGGCACTTTCACACAAGAATGATCCTTTTTTTTTTACAAAACTGTACACCAAATCGTAGCTATAAACCCAACATATATACTCACACCCGTAGACCCTCGAACCAGACATGCACACCTTCACGCATACAAACACATATCTGCTACAAAGGACACCTAGACATATTCATTCTTTCCAAACACAATAACAAAATGGAATCTCCTTCCCATAGCAGCAGTACAATGCACAACACTAGAGGTCTTCAAGGCACACATACGCTATGTAGCCATTGAAGCCCTCATCACACGCTAAAACATACGCCAGCTTTTACCTTTTATCTATACCTTGCACAAAAAGTGAGTGATAACTTGGTTTATGACAACAAAAATCACAAGGCACGAAGGCGACACCGTATCTATATATAACAAGAAAAGTGGAATAGTTTTTTAATACAATCATGATGGCTATAGAAAGAAATGGAAAGTTCACAAAAGGAAAGTCCTAATGGGTTCACTTTTACTACCATGTAGTTGTAAGTAAACCTCGAGATAAGTGGCTATGTAGGGGACTATGTAGCTCATTGATGTTTTGTTCAGGAGGTTATATACGATCGACGTGTCCAATGGGTTTCTTGTTAATTAATGAGAACGTATCGTCGATATAAAGTAAAAGTGAAATTCAATATTAACAAGGTGATTGTTACCTTTCCGATCAGCTATTTGACTATAAAATCGACCTCATTTAAAGTGAAACACAGATCGGCTATTAGTTTAGAATGTTTTGCGTACAGGATGTTCAAAATTGAGAAAAAGGTTCGTTTGAATTCTTCAAAATTCACGTTTCATTACTTCCATTACTTCAATATGCAGTATCACCATATCAGTTTTACCATGATTTAATATTGCTAGAAATAAAGGACTTGGTTGCATGGATTATCAGCCAGCAAAGCCAGTGACAAAAAATGTGATTTGTGAATAAAATCTTTAGAAGTTTCGGAATATATTTACAAACAAGACAGTCCGTAACAGAATCATTCAGCGGAATTCAGATATATGATAATACAAACGTAATTTAAGTTTGTGTTTTATGTTTCGAAAGATTTGAAAATACATCAGGGTTCTTGGTCATAGAGCAAGCTTAGCATGTTTTATTAGCAATAAATGCCGACCCAACAGCATGGTTTATGTAGTTCGTTGATTGTGCAAGCATAACAGATTGGTGTTTGGGATTTTTTTAAATTTCAAACTGCTGATGAATTTAGAGAGTGACCCAATTTAACCTGTTCTCGTTTCGGACACTGTTGGACATAGTCTTCCACTGAATCCATTAATATATTTATATACAAATTCCAACTGATAGTAAGAGTCTCTCAGTACGTTGGACTCCTTATGAAAAGCTAGTATTTAAAACTTGAATCGTGCAGTGTATTTATTTTTTGCCAAAATGTACCTTGTGCCAAATGTAATTGTGTGAGTCCTACGTTTGTTTTTGCACTATAGATACTATTTAGAATCCCGGTTATCACATGACTTTTTGGGTGAATGCTTTATGGATATTAAGAACCTGAACATTCTGAATAAGTTGTTTTCAGGTACTTCTGTATTTAAATATATAGGAATCGATGTATTTAAAAGTGACGGAAAGAAACAACATCTAAAACCTTGATGGTAATTGCATCCCTTAAAAATATCCGTGTGACAGGATTAAAGGGCTTTATTTATGTCAAATCATCAATAATGATACGACATTACCAAGCTAGTTTCCAAAGGTCATCAGAAACAGTTTTATTGATTTAAGGAGATAATACTCAGACTGTACAATATGTGGGTAGAGAGGACAAATAGAGGACCGGTAGGACCGATATTGCCATAAAAAATCATAAAAAACAACCTGTAACTGTTCAATACATTACCCGTGCCTGTGTTATAGGCGACTTCTCTATTAGAAGGTCACTTTTAAGACAGCAACAGGTAGGTTAAAACTGTCTGGAAAAATGCTTCTTAATGCTTTGCCTTCTTTTAAGATACTATACCAATTTTCGATGAAGAAAGTTTGTACTTTGTTATGAAAATATCTCTTTCACTACCAGAAGACATTGTAGAAAAAGATTAAAAGGCCAATCCAATATCACGTAGATATCCTCGTATCATCTTTTATGTTTGGCTGGTTTATACGTGTTTAACAGCATTAAAATGGCTTAACGCACAGCGGTAGGGCTACTCTGGTAGTTTCAAACGGGGAACCATGGTTGGTTGAATGTTTGAGTATACACACATCTACGCTCATTCTGAGTATAAACACATCTATGTTCAATTTGAGCATGAACTGGTCCACATTGAGGTTCAGTTTGAGTATTAACCGTTCCACATTTGCGTTAAGTCTAAGTATGAAAATGCATATTTTCAACGTAAGCATATCTATGTTTAGACATAATATGGACATGCCTTGCGTTATTATCAGTAGAATTATAGCTGTATTACAGCATATGACCAGAGGACATGTTGACATGGACCTAGCAGTTCCCCTTGTGAATTGTTCTTATCATCCGGTTTGGAGTAGCAATATTTCATTTTTAATTGTTTGCAGTTTTTGTGTTATTACTTCTCGAAGTATATATACTTTTCATACTTGCCAACCACCAATCCCAACTGGGTTTTTTCTTTTGTAGTGAACAATGGATCCATCACTGACTTGTTTCATTTATTTTCTGAATGAACTAGACAAAAACGTGAAATGATTCCCACACTTTGATATCATGGTGGTCATCTTAGATGTTTAAACATTAACTAGTGGAGTTGAGATATAAGCAAAAATGGATCCGTTTGTCTGAGAACATTGTAGAACATTAAATGAAAAGGGTCCAATAAGAGAACATGCGGCGATCATTGATAATGAACTTGTCCAAAAATAAACCAAACATACAGTTTTAAAAATCAAATGGGATGCTTCAATTAGGACATTGCATGTACATTCGGTTAATGGATAGAGCACATTTTCTACTTACGAGAAGTTTTTAAAAACTGTTTTGATCTTCGGTTCTTCAAGAAATATCCGGAAGAAAACCTTTTCTCCGATGCCAACCATGTCACGTGATAGGATTGGCCAAGTACTCCGGATGGTGTCGATTTGGTTGTCGGAGAAATCGGCCGCCTCGTCTTCAGCTATATTGACGTCATTGACTTCAACACTTTTGCTGACGTCACATCCCATAATGCAGCCACGATTGGCTAAAACTCATCATACGTCTTTGCTGAAAAGATGAAAAGGCCAACTTTAGTATTATGGATTCCTTTAATAGTAAAATAAATACAAGTGTTTGAATAAGTAATGTCCACTCCATCCCACCTACAGGAAAATGGGAAATACGGTCCAGCTTGGTACACCCGTATTGTTATTTATTAGTGGTTTGACTTATTGGGATCGACGTGTCTCCGTCTATGTGATGTATTCATGTATGCATTTTGTTCGTGTATCAGCCTACTTGCAATGTCGCAAATCTGAGGCCGATTTTTGAGTGCTACCTCCCTGACATACTATGCCGAATCTAATCTTGTTTGAATAACTATTAGTTCAAATACATTTGTATACCAGAGTTCAGAGGCACATATGGCACTATACTATATATAAAGCTTACCATTGTTTTATCATCGATATTCCGTGTCATAACCGCACACAGGGATGCCTGGGCGACAGATCAATACTATATACCATTGTTATAATTAACATGTCATTAAAACCATTATCCATGTCAGTATTGACCCGGTAACTAGAAATCATTACCATGGCGAGACATTCACTAGTTTTCTAATCTAAAGCCACAGTGGTCAAATGTGGTTATTACGTTTGTATGATCCATGCCTGGAAATCGCGATCCGATGTATATCATACCTACTTAACTAGCTTCTATTAAGAGCCTCAGCTTAACGTAAGGCGGTCCTGCATCTCGATAATTCTGCTACAAATAGAAAAATTATCTAAAACCCTGCTCACTAATGTTTCCTGGTTGACTGCTATTTCGGGCTCTATTTTATCGTCGAATTACATTTATGTATCACTGCTTTCCATACTGATCCGGCATTAATGGTAATTAACTGAGGTCAATACGTCATTGAAGGTCATATCGATTTAGCACTTCCAAATGGGGAAATGAAGAATCTTATAACCCGTTTACGTGTTCAGTATTACAAGAAGGACTAAGAAATTTGCATATTCTTGAAATAATGAATAAGTCATTAGACGTACAAACATTAAAGTTAAAATATTTCATTTCTGTGTCAAACAACGTCTTGCATCAAATATATATATATCGATATTTTCAGGGGTTGTAGGAATTAGCCAGCCCTAGTGTGTTGGGCTATGAAACGTATGTGAAAATGAAGAAAAACAATTTGCATGATTTGTGCTCTGTTTAGGATTTTACTCGTGGGGCAAGGTACCAATTCGACTAATAAAGGAATTTCATCGACTATTACTAATTTATCACCGCCAACTCCTATACTTCACACTCTTTACTAACTACTTAATTTGGAAGTGTTTAGTACTCCACTAATCTCTTAAAATTGATAAAGTTTGGGTTAGTAGTATACACGATTTGCCTTTCCAAAATGTTTGCCCAGAGCTCCACCGATTATTACAAGGAGGAGGAAACAGTTGTATAATGCAGCGTAACACATTTTTGGCAAGTTTTATCTTTTACCGAATTTTAACAGTGCAATAATCGATGTGTGTGTTATATTAACCTTTTTATGTTTTATACCTATACCCGGCATGTACAACTTTATATATGTATATATTGCCATATATTATTATGGGTCAAAGAAGTAATATAGACGGTAAAATCCCATATAACACTGGATCCTAATAGAGGTATGTCCGTAGGATACGAATTACTTAAAATAGTATATGGGGCAAAGAATGTACAGATACATCATATTACAAGAAGATAGAACAGATATACTATAATTGAAAATATAGCTATTATATAAAACCAATAGTCCCTCGGCTAAAGACAGCCGAAGGCAGCAATTAAGCCGAGAGCATCGCGGACAAGGAACGCTGATAGTCTAAATTATTAGTTATACAGGTTTGAAACAGTTAACATTGACGTATATTACCCATCTGAAACTCAGAAAGGTAACTTAAGCTAATATTAGCTTTTTTATCCTTATTCACGAATTAACTTATTTGCAACAAAAAATCCAACTGATTTCATTGGTCAATAACGCGGCTGTAATATTCTCGAAAGGTTCGGTGACTCCAGCTGTTGATGATACTCTGTAATTAATGCCTGTGCCTAAATATTCAAAGTTTGATATGATCAACGACAGGTTAATGCAAACCTTCCATGTACTATTTAATTCCAAACATATCCAAATACAACTTAATTCAGGGATCCAGAACGATGGTTCATAGACAAGAGGTACACAAATATTTGTTATTCTTTTCAGATTTCGCCAAAAAGGTATTTTGAAAAAAATGCATTGACGTCTTATAGGTGGTAATCAGGCTTTGAATTAATCATATCTCAACGGAACATAGTTTTGTGTTGCTCAACGTAAGCGACTTTGTACTCTTCATCATGTTATGTGCCGGCAAGGTTATCAGATACGCTTCCATCAGATAGCTGCCAAATGTAACGGCTCATTCGTGTACGCCGTTACATCTATTGTTGTGAGAGGAAGTCTGTGAGATAAAATGTTCAGAGTTTTGCGTCCTTGCGACATACAACTGTTTTGGTCATTTAAAGATGTTGTCAAAACTTGATTAATCCACTCAGATGTCATTTTAGAGTGTCATTTCACTTAAATGCCATAACCTGAACACGGCAATATGATACTGAACACAATCACATAAGAATATAAACGGGCTAACCGGGGGTGTCTAGGTAGACACCGCAAAATGATAGAGAAGTTATGAGAAAAGGAAAATAAGGTCACTGATATTGCAACGAAGGCATCAAATCAATTTTAGTTATCTTATAACCTTAAAGCAAAAGTCATAGAAAAAATCTCCGACACTGCAGGAGCGTTCATATAAGATGCATCCTACGTAAATTTAGAGGAATAGATTGGATTTGTCCTTTTCCAGAACCTGCAAAGGATTATTGAGCGATAAAGAACTTCCATGAAAAACATAACTTCGAAATTATTTTAGAAATTTTATTTATTTCCTGTTTCGGATCTATGAGTTAACCTACGATCATACATTTAGTACAATCGAATATCTGAAGCTCATTGGAGTAATGTTTAAACGACTCATTCGCTTAAAAAATAGGGTAAACATCAAGATCCTGAAGAATATGCTTGTAATCAATATTGGTTTCATAACATCATACATGCTAGGAATATGCATATCAATCCAAACCTTAAGTGGTTTATTTCAGTTCATGATAATTTTAAAAAGCTCTTTACCACATTAATGCGGAACCAGCCATTTTAGGAGCAACAAGGGCATCTTTTCAATCATTATGATTGACATCAAGCGACAAAAATCAATCCAAAACCATTCGGGTGTTTCCGTCAATGCTTTAATGTGTCGTCACGGTATGATTGGTCCCCAATAAATCGCACAGTAACGCAGAACCGACCGAACAGTTTCGTGTTAAAAACATTGACGTGTCACAAGTGGTACTGATACACGTATACACTAATTTGATCTTAAATGCTTATATCAGCATAGTTATAGCATCTAAAGGAATTTGGAATGTCAAAAACACTGATTGTAATCAAGCAATGAATGTTTTAGCAAATGTTGTTATGGTCCTATAACACACATTAATATTGATGACAAATATGATAAAGCCCATTAGGGCTTTATGTAAGTTTGTCAGCAATAGGAATGTGTTATAGGACCATAACAATATTGTCTAAAATATTCATTCCTTATATTTACATTTTGATAGAGTAGATTTGCTTTATTTGGTTTTTTCGAACATATCTTGAACAGCAAATTAAGTGTTGATAACAATAAAATCGATGACGTCACAATAGATATAGATGACGTCACTATAGCAAATGTTGTTATAGTCTCATAATAACATTTGCCTTTTCATTGCATTGCAATGGAAGGATGCAGATCAAATGTAAATATTCGGTTTTGGGACTTGTATAAATGTAATGCATTCACGCAACACCTGTATCTGTGTATACACGTTGATGCAAAAATCATGAGAAAGATTTGGTCAGCGATTTTGCACTATAATTAGTTATAATGTTAGGCCGACTCCCACGTATCACTGCACGCCTTGGGCCAGGGCCATAAACCTCCGTCCCCCCACTTCTCCATGGTACCTGTAATTGTCGTTGTAATCCAAACCGGTCTTGCTATACATGGCAGACGAGAATAATCATTGGTCACATTAAAGTATTATGTATTATATGCACCTGTATGCTAGGGAAGTTTTCAACACCGGACACAGCCTTTAATCATATGTCCGGTGTCTACTCATGTATACACTGTCACAAAGGCAACATAATTGATAACATGCTTCAATACACAGATTCCTTTGCACGGAATAGGAAGTATATAATTGATGACATTTGCGTGTGTTTGTTTCAATTCAAAGATCTCGGCAATTGAATAGGCTTCAATGTGTGATTTGCGATGACGAAACGAAGCATGCATGCTGCAGGATTGCATTACGCACCTGAAACTGGCACATGCAAGTACATGTATCGTGATTATAATTAAAGTAACTAATGTAACAGTAGAGCCGAACTTTGTTAAAATCCAGTTAGATGGCGACGATAACATCGCCATGCACTTTATTTAGCTGAAAGTGCTCATGGTCTTTGTATGTTGGCGACGAAGGAGAATTCCCCCAGGTACAGACGGCAGTGTAGCCAGATATTATCCCGAGAACTGAGAGCAGTATCTATCGACCCAGTATTAACACTGGTAACTTTGAATTTAATTAAACAGGATAACGATATGATTGAAACAAAGTTAATGAGGTTAAATTGTGTAAGCGAAGTACATTGCATTTTCAGTATTTTCACAAAAATTGGTTGTTCTCTTTGGTTATCTAATTAACACGTCTCATTGCCAAGTATTTTTTTTTCTTATTGAACATTTTCACAATTATCACAGTTATCACAATTAGCAGAATCGTACTCATTCATCAACACATTCCTGTGGACTTTTTCAAGTGAACACCGGGGATTTGGTGGTTGTGAATAGCAAGATTTTAATACCGTTATAGACTAGACACGTGGGAATAGTCAGTTTATTGTCCTTGAATGGCGTACATTT